GCTGATTCATGGCAACTTTGATATTATACTGGCCTGATAATTTAATAGTTTTGCTCTGTGTTGCCATGCAGGACAGTGAGTGCTGTTTTTGGTTTATCTCACCCCTGCTCTCCCCTGGGATCAGTTAGTATTACTGAATCAGCAAGTTTATCCCTGGGGAAGACATTTTATATTGCTTAAAGGCAACTCCAAGCAATGACTGTTAAGTAGCAGTGTGACAGAATTCATGGGCATTCCATGCAGATTTTTCTAACAGTGGTTGCATGACATAGTCTTGAATGGTGTTAGATGTCCAGCATTGCTTTGTGCAGCAGGGATATTTGCAGGTTTTTCTTGTTGATGGCAGTGGAGTAATGCTAAGAATAAACGTGGCTCTATAAATTATGAAATCCGGTCATGTTGTCTGGTTTGCCTGGCATAGGAATGGCCTCTCATTTGCTGGCTTAATCTAGGCTTCATTTGTGTTTCTCTCTCCTGTATTATGTATGGGTAAGGGCTCCTACAGCAGAAAAGGTACCTGCCTCCAGATGCTTGTCTCCAAGTATTTTGTTTAACTTAAATTGCACTAAGTATACACAGCACTTCAGACGATAAGAGAACGACCCAGAGGAACTTATGTACCAATATATGCGTGTTCAGGACACCAGTTTCTCACAAGTCATTGAGCCAGGTATTGAAGGAAGTTATCGTAAAGCACTCATCATTGGAAAAATCCTTTGTCAGTTTTTCGTAAGCACCCCAATGAACATTTTATTAGCGCATGAATAACCTTTGCAGCCCTGGCAGAGACTGGAAATTCATTCTTTCATTTTAAAATTTCAGATCATCCTTTTTCTGAATATTCTTTTCAAATTACAAAGAGAGGAACCCCCACCCCAACCATACTATAAAGTAGCTCTCTTTCTAAGTGGATCAAACTTAATCACCAGCCACTCAAGTTTCTTGTAGTTTCTGCCATGAATAACATGCCACTAGCAAAATGAGTGAATGAGAATGTTAACTTCTTGGGTCCAGATGCACATCTGATACTGCTCTATTGATTCTAGTGAGGTTGTGCCTGTTTGTACTAGGGCTTAATTTGGTTTAGGATGTTGACTGGTTGGGCAAGAGAGAGCAGTTGTAGTTGGGACTTCCAGAAATGCCTTTGCATATGAACTACTCTTGCTACTGTCTGCCTAACGGACAACAATCACTTCAAATTTCAAGTAAATCAGAACAAACTCACTGCCCCGTTTCCTTTAGATTTCATCTATTCATGGAAATTAGAGATGGCAAATGGGGAGGAGGGGGCGGAGGGGTGTGTGTGTGTGAGAGAGAGAGAGAGAACAGGATTCTATAGAACTTGCATTCAAAATGGTGTATTGTTCTGTTGCAATTGCCTTTTCTCCACTGTAACTGCCCTTACTAAATAACTTTTTATGGGAATCAGTGGACTAACCATGGAAAAAACAGCTTGTCTAAACTGGCTGTAAGGAAGTTTCTGATCAGCTGCCCAGTTTGCAGAAGTGATGAGCAACGGTCTTGAAACTAGATGAACCATTCATTGGGATTCACAGTTTTCATGCAACTTTGTGCAAATGAATTCTTTGAGTCCATTGACATGAGCAGCACTTGTGGGTGTTTGTCTTATAAATCAATTAGCCCTGAAATAATGTTTTATATCAGCTTAAAACATCTGATGAGACCAGTTGATTCTCTCTCAGAGCAAATGAGGAGAGTTTTATGTTCAGTCTAGTTTTAAATTCAGCCATGTCACTGTTTATCCCATTCATTTTGTGGCCACATGTCACAGTTCAGGTGCAGGACTGACAATATAGGTCTTAAGTCATTACATGAAACCAGTGCCTCACTTTAGCATTCGAGTCTGTAGTTGGATCCTGTGAGATTAGTGGTCTTGCCTATTACAGATGAAATAACTTCAGGGTTAACGGATTGTCATCAGCAATATTGTGCTCGGAGATCCTGCTGATCTGCAGCAATCATACCTTTGAAAATTCATGTCTTGTCAGTATGCCTGTTACATGCCATCCCGGTCTGGTTACCTGCAGATTAGCAGCCATATAAGTTGGGAAAGTGGATGTAGCAATTGCATCCTCACTCTAAGATCTTGTACACCAGCCTTGGGAATTTACTATCTGAGACAACTGATCACCATTAACTTGATTCTGCTTTTTAATTTCCCGGGGCAGATTTTGCTAAAAGAAATGATATTTTACCAGTCTTTTGACTTCCCATTTCTTAAGTTTGTGAATCTTTCACATGTTTTGTAAATATATTACCTTGAAGATTAGTCAGTAAGACGACTGATGCTTAATGCAACAATACTTCATTTTCAATACCATGAAGAAAATTCACAATGCAAACATGAAGTGGGAGAAAACCCTGTGACTCTCTGGCATATGCCTTCAGGAATCTATTTGATTTAAGAATTTTATGTCCTGGTCTTGCTGTCATATTAATCTGTTCTTTGGCTGCGGTGTTGACCCCAGCTGGCCATAGTGAGTCAGCACTGACCCCATTGCCAAACATGGAGCAGGCACAGAGGCATCGTCAGCAGGATTTCATTAAAATTGGATTTTTATTAATTTTTTCTTTCTCCCTGCCAGCTCCCTTTCCAGCGATAGAGGAAAATAGACGTCTGCAGTTTACAGCTACTATAAATGTCTGCTTTCTAGTCTAGGCATATGTTGTAGTTGAAAGTGTGTGTGTAAATTATTCAGAAGGTCTCTCTTAATACTGACACTGTTCATGTGCTCTTTCATGTTTAAGTATAACTTCTCTCGGTAACTGAGAACCTTCACTGATCTTTGAGTGAGGATAGAGCATATATCTCACTTAAGTGAAATTATGTTAAAGTTCAGACTAAGGTGAAATGGGCATAAATGGCTTTGCATCTTAAAACCAAATGGCTTCCAAAGGGAATTGGGCTGAAGTCAGGACTGCAGTATTGGGCCCTGTACTCGGATAACCTTTACTGGCCACTTATCAGCCTATTATCATCAGTGCCTATTTCCACTGCAAGGTCATTTTTAATTGAGGGTGGATAAACCAGTTCAGATGTCATGCCCTTTTTCCTCTCTTCTCCTGGTTTACACAAAACTAGATCCAGGTGTTCTCTGAAACTAAAATATATCGTGGTTCCCCCCATCTTCTTAGTTTCCATATTCGTTGTGCACTTCTGCCCTTCCAAATTCCAACTCTGGAAATACCTGAAACTCTCAAAAGACAGTGTTCTTAGGAGACTTGCAAAGGCTAAAGTTGTGGATCCAAGAGGTTCAGATATGTATCTGAACTGACTGAGGTTTGCCCATCAGGACTTTGCATGCACAGACCTTGTATCTCACTTGGAAACCTTTTGAGGGATGAAGGTCCCATTGATGCATAATCCTAATTTTAACTACAAGAGGACCACAAAGACTAAGGTGCTCTAAAAGCCTATAGCAACATGTTCTTCCTTTTGTCATTGCTAAAGAACATCAGTACAAATTATTTTCCAAGACTAGAAGCCTCCGGGCGGATTGAGCTTCTGTATGAAATATGAATAAAGGCACCTCTCATTATTACATTACAAAGATGCATATTCATATCCCACTATCCAAATGATATGTGGCACTGGCAAAATATCAAATCCGAGGCTTGTGTGTCTCTCCTCTACATCTTCAGATGTACTTGGAATAATGTATAAAACGTGGCGTTTGAGTAGCTAGATTTTAGCATGACATTTTTATCAGTAATTTTTTATGCAAATGTTTCTCTTTACAAAACACTCAAAGCACTTCCCCTCTGAACCTTACAGTGCATCTTTCCCTAGAGCCCATTCCTTTCTCACACCATCCTTTCCTACTGGATCCAGCAACAGGACCTCAGCAAGCAGTGTTGTGCTGTTGGTCACTCAGCAGATAGTACAAAGGGACTGATTGTGGGCCTCAAACTATAGGAGTGAAAACTTTAAGGAAAAATACATGTATATGATAATTATCCAATGCGGTACAACCCTCCTCGGTTATGTTAAGGGAATCAGCTGGTCTTTTATTAGTTTTTTTGGTATTTTAAAAACAACAACAAACTGTCGACCTTGAGTTTGTGTTTAAATAAATTAAATATGGATCTTGGGCTGATGCAGAGAAGTGACAGGCAATGGCCACTGAAGCCACTGGGAGGAAGCCATTGATTTACACAGGGCTGCATGAGATTTGTGAATCCCCAATGACTGGTTTCATTGAGTTTTGAGGCTATAGCTCAAAATTTTTGGAAACCAAGCGGATACCAAAACTTACCATGCAACTAATTTAGGGAAATAGGTTGTTGTTTTTTTCCCCCTCACAGGTTAGTCCATTGGCTTCCACTAAAAGGATCTTAGTGAGGCCAAAATTACATTATGGAAAAAGCACTCCAAATCAGAGCTGAATAATAACCCAGTTTGATTCCAGAAGTATTCTGAGAACCCCAGTTTCACAAGTGCACATGCTTTGTCCCTGTTCTGTGGTAGGATGTTTTTGTCACCATTAGAACATGGATAATGGGTAGCTGTTTTAAAACCAGTTTCAGTAAGGAACTTTTACCTTTTTGCCTTTTATTTTGAAGGGTAGTTTGGCCATCTTGAAGTAATGTTTGTGATCTGTAGAATGACATCAATTTGTTTTAAAGATAAAAGCACTATTTGATTTCCCCACCCACCCCAGTGAATAAAATCTCTAAGCACCTAGGGCCTAGTCTATACTGGGGATTTGTCCCAGTTTCAGCAGTCAGTGGCAAGCCACTGGTGTGCAGAAACCTGGTGTAGATAGCTATAGGCAAGGATTTGCACTGGTGCAGCCTTTTCCAGTTTCATTAGTGCAGATATATTGGAGGCTGAAACGGAGGCAAATATTCCATGTTGAGAAGGTGTACATAAAATCTGTGAGCATCTAGCATGTTTGTCTTTGGGTACAACAAGCTCATCCTTCTCAGAACATACAAAACCGTGCTGCTATGTGACTGCTCAATGATCTCTCTTGCAGGTGATGAAGACTTACCACATGTACAATGCGGACAGCATCAGTGCTCAGAGCAAGCTGAAAGAGGCAGAAAAACAGGAAGAGAAACAGATTGGGAAGTCGGTGAAGCAAGAGGACAAACAGACCCCACGCTCCCCTGACTCAACTTCCAACGTTAGGTTTGAAGAGAAACATGTCCGACGGAGCTCAGTCAAGAAAATAGAGAAAATGAAGGAGAAGGTAAATGAGCAGTGACACTGAGGAAATAAATGGTGTTGGAAGGAGAGCTTTGCAATTATTCACCAGAGTGACTGCTGAGAAGTTTCCTGTTAGTGATACTTACATTCAAAACACAACATTATAATGCAGGGTTAAGGATGCAATGTTAGGAAATGCAAAGGTTAACATTGTCATTAACTTGGCTGGATAGCCCAGCAGCCAAATTTTGTAATTATCTTCAGTATGCATAGTTGCTGCAGAGCCAAAGCCTCTTTACTTGGAGAGAGGTGAGGCTAGAAGGTAAGGAATATCTTCCTTAAAGTTGCTCTTGGGCAGGTTATTGCCTTCTCTTCAACGTTAATGGGGTAGTAAGATATGGGGCCAGATCAGTAGCAACTGATGTTGCAGCAGCTGAGGGTCTGGCCCATGGTATCTGGAGGCGCGCAAGCAAACACGGGCAAATGTTAATCCCTACCTCTTTCCTTAAGCAGATCCACATACTTTAACAATCAAATTAAGTGGCCCAGAGGACTTGCCTGTCTGGAGGTCAACTGAAATGACATCTTGTTTTTAAGTCACCTTATAACAGTTGTAAGACCATCTAACATTTCACACCCTCCACTCCCTCTTTGTGGGTTGTCTGCAGGTAAAGCCCTAAATGCAGGGTTGTCTGATTAACAATCTGAGTTGATCTAAATTAAGCCTTGGAATTTTGTGAGATGAAATTAGTTCCCAAATGAAGGTAAATGAGCATTGAGATGAGGTGTAATTGTTCTGAGGGTACAGTTTGTTCTGCCACCAAGAAGTTTTTTTTTTTTTAATGAACTCTTTTGTTTCTTTTCAGCGCCAAGCAAAATATACTGAAAATAAACTGAAGGCCATTAAGGCAAGAAATGAGTATCTGTTGGCTCTGGAAGCCACCAATGCATCTGTGTTCAAGTATTACATCCACGACCTGTCTGATCTCATTGATGTAAGTGCGCTGCTACTTGGGTGAATGTCGTTCCCATTAACCCCACTGTGTGCATCTCCTTCTTTGACCCCTTTTGTGCTAGCATCCTTTGTAGCCCCTCTGCCGTGATGGCCTGCAATGTTGTCTGCCTGAAGAGCAGAACAGGCCCTGATCACTGTACGTTGGGGAAATGTACCAGGTACAATAGTCAGCAGTAAAAGGGTTAAGGAGGCTTTTCTTAAACAGTTGCTTGGCAAAGGGAGTGTTAAAAAGAAGGGGAGTTTGTACAATGGGCACAGAATACAGAAATCTTTATAAAGAGGGAATGCTTCATTTGTTTCAGTTTTTATACATACTGTTTTAAGCAAATCCCCAAGATTATAATTGAAAGAGACAGGTTTTTGTAAAAAAGGAAAACGTGTTTGTAAAACTATAAAACAATTGGCAGAAGGACTCAAAGGCAGATGTAGCTCCCAAAACTGCTTTTAACTTTTTTTTTTTTTAATTTGTCTAACTTTCAAATGTATGGTGTCTCTTTATAGAATGTTCAGTGAGATATGTAGAGAGCCATGCTCTTGTATCCAGGACTTCCCGCTGATTCAAATCCACACAGGTCTCCAGTGACGTAACGTGTTTCCAACTGCTGCTATTTGAACTGCATAATATAAGATTTGTGTTAGGCCAGTTCACAGTGGCAAGGTGTATGTATCACCAACAGTCCCGCTAATTCCCACCCCTAGCTCAATGGTAGTCTCAGCAAAGGGGGAAGAAAGAAATGGTCTATGGAAAGAGAACTCTCCTGTTCCCTAGAAGAGTCCCATCAAGCTTAGGGTTGGGGCAAATTATCATAAAGCAGTATGTATGGCTAGTTGCCCTGCATCTGCCTATGTGGTACACATTCTGCGGCTAAACAGAAGACCTCAGTCTCCTGGAGTGGCAATTTAGCATGTTTCTCTTAGCGCTAAATTTTGTTTTATTAAAGGTATACACTGAATAAGTAACAGCTACTTTTATCATCTCTGCCTTAACATTCACACTTGTTGGAAACCTCAGAAAAGCCACTTTGGGAGTCTGAGATGATCCAGGGCTTGTCTTCCCATATGGCGCTACAGTGGTGCAGCTGCAGCAAAGATGCTCTTACGCCGACGGGGGAGCTGCTCCTGTCGGTGTAATTAATCCACCTCCCGGAGAGGCAGTAGCTGTGTCAGTGCTATCTACACGAGGGGGAGGGGAGGTTAGGTCGATATAACTACCTCACTCAGGGGTATGGATTTTTCACCCGAGTGATGTAGTAATGTAGTGTAAACCTGGTCCCAGTCTTTTAGAGCTAGTGTTGATTAATGTTTTCCTCTAGTGTGAGTGCCCCGCCCCACCTCACAGGCATGAGCTGCATTGAATTAGTTCTGCTCATCAAGTCATTGATTGCTATTGGATCCCACTTTGTTCCATTTCTGGATGACAACCCTAATATTTCCCTGTAATCGAGGTTAAAACCATCTTTGCTGAGCCCTGGGGGAAGTTGTTTGGAGGAAGCTATGTGGGTGGGTGCAGCGGGTGAGGTGGGGGTTTGAACAAGAGAATTAATTCCTCATCTCTGATCACTCTTCACTGGTCATTATTCAGCCAGTTGTAAAGTCAGACTAGCCATGCTCAGTGTGCTGCAAGGTTCAAGTATTTGAGATTCTTACTGCTCTTTCCTCTGCAGATCAAGACTCTCTATACTAAGACCTTTTAAAATCTTTTTTTATTTGGAGGTGCAGCTGTAACTATTAAACGGAGGGCTGTCATGCTGTGTGATGCATCATGGCAATGCTGTTGTTTCGGTGGGACATCCAGCATTTCCACTATAACCCCTGTCTTTTGAGGGGTTTGTACCTGACATATTAAAAAAAAAAAATTGACTTGGATTTGTATTACAGCTTCTTGACTTTATAGAAAATTATTACTTTCTGGGTGTTCTAAAGGAGGTTAAGGGAGTTGGACACCCAGTTCCCATTGAAGTCCAATGGGATTTGAACACCTAATATTCTCAAATTCCTTTTGAAACTTCCAGTTCTAGTTTATAACAAATTATTGTAAAGCACTCAGCCAACAGACTGCTAGTTCTTAATATGCTTCCTATGAGCTATGTGTAGTGAAAAATCTCACAGAACCCACTTAGATTTCCTTGATAAATCCTTAACTCTCCTTTGAACACCAAGGAGATCCCAAGAAGTTTATAGCGGTTTAGCCGGCAGGACTTGTCTTGCTAAGAGTGCTCTGGCTGCTCTGCTGGCACAGCTGTCTCCAGACTATACACAGGTGCAAGGAAGAACAAAAGTTTCAGCAGTGCTTAATTTTTTTTACCATTCCTTGACAGACCACAGTAGGTCACATGGCTACAGTTCAGGCCATGTTCATGCACAACGACCCAGTTAACCCTTTAGCCACTTGATTAACTGTGCAAAGTGCATACTTAAGTGTGTATAGAGCATTTATCTGTAGATTTCCCCCCTTCCCCCCCAAGTGCATTACAAGGACTGGTAAGCACTATCAGCTCAATTTTTTTCAGAGGGGGAAACAGTGTCACAGGTGAAGGGACTTGATGGTTCACTCAGTGAATCAGTGACAAAGCTGGAAATAGAGCTAAGTGTACTCCCGGTCTAACAATGGCACTTGTAAATTGCAACTGTTAATAAGACACTTAAACCTACCAATGGTAAAGCCCTGTTGAGGTATAATTGAGGGTCTGATTTAAATACAAACAGGGTCTGAAAACCAACCCTGAAACACCTACAATATCCTCAATGGAAATAGTGCTGAGTTAAGAACAGTGTGTTGTCCCAGACATTCGTCAGTGGTTCTGTTTCCCGACTCTGGTGACTGAGGCAGATCCTTGTGTTAATGAAATTATTGCACTAATCGAAAAATTGATCTTAAGAGAGAATTCCGTTTTGAGCCACCTTTGAGACCCTTCTGCAATCTGTATTTTCTCTCAAAAAAGCCAGTGGACCACTAAGGCTGAAAAAGGAATGAAGTCAGGGGATGTGTGAGTGAGTGTGTCTGACAGCCTGCTTTTAGGGTGCCTTTGCAATCCTGGGAATAAACAGATTTCTGCTGTCTCAACAAGAGCTCAAGCTTTCCCTTTCCTTTTCCCTTGCATCCCACCACAAAATAACACAAGCTCCCTCCATTTCCCCCCCTCCCCCCGCCGCCCAAAAAAGAAACAGAAACTTGAGTTTTAAAACAGTTATTTTCCTCGACTTTGTATTCTGGGTTTGTTTAAAGGCTACTTGCTGGCAAAGGGTTAATCAGCTGTCATGTTGAGAAATGAATTTGGATGAGCTATCATTAAATTCTTATAAAAAATTGATTTCCTTGGAGAATGTTTCCATCAAACATTTATGTAACCCAGAAAAGGCCAGTGAGACTGACACACTTATAAATATGATATGCTGGACGCTTTAAAATGTTAGTGACGGAGAGGACTGAAAATGTTCTCAGCCACCAGCTTCTATAAAGGAAAGCTGAAAGAAGTTGCTGTCTTAATCTAATCTTCCTGGTTTCTCCTGGAGGTGGGCTATGAAATATTAAATCTTATTTTACTCTCCTATCTCATGAATGAATCCTTTTGACATAAGCTCAGCCTTCCTCTCAGATGCACATGTACCTTGATGTAATTTGAAAAATGGGCACCAGCACTGGAGATGAACTTGTCAGTGTGTCTGGGCTCTGTGGTAGATTGACCCACATTTTAAGCAAAATGAGCATTAGTCTCTGTAAACAGTCTGAGCAGATCCTCCTCATTGGACTGTTGGTCCAACTGAATCTGACTTCTCTCAAATTTTGCTGCATGGGACATGGAATTTTAATGTGCCTGTGGAGCAGCAATAGCTTGAATGGCTCTTTACCAGAGAATGTCCCCGCACGTGCAAATTCTCCATCAAGCAGCTTTTGTTTTTGTTCTTGGGGTTTTTGTTCTTCCTGATTGAATTTAATGTCCTTTAATTCTCTGTCTCCAGTTAAGCCAGCGATTGCTGTTCCTTTACAAGAGCGCCACACCTGCTAAAGTCCATTGGCACGATACCCAGGCATGTAGTAGCATTCTGTGGCAGAAGTCTTGTAAAAAGCAGGGGAGGGGCAGGGTCTGGGTGTCTTTTTCTCTTTTTGAAGGCATTTACTTACAATAGGACAGTGATGAGACCCAAATGATGGGGGGGGAGGAGGAGATGCTGTGATTTTTGCTTACAGAGCAGCATAGCAATCAAGCAGATGGGCTCTTTCTTCTTGGATATTCTCCTCGCATATTTAATCTCACTTGCAGTTCCTGGAAGATGGACATTTCTCTAGCTCTGTTTATTAGATATCTGTAAAATTCAGGCTTTCTGATCAAGTAATGAAAAGAGCTTCTCTTCCTTATGAAATATTAAGAGTTGGCTGTGGAAGCTGGGTGCAGATGAGCCTGCCTGATTGGCTTTCAGTGATGTCATGCTAATGTTAGTAATATCCAGTAAAAGCTTGACTGATCTTTTTACCTGAAGGTTTTTGTTCACTTTGTCTCACCCTAGCAATGAAACCATCCCAGGCATGCATTTTGAGGGGCACTGTTGCCCTTCTAGCATGGCAGAAGTCATTTGGCCTTTGTCTCATAGTTACCCAGGGTAAGCTATGACGGCCAGAAATGCGACAAATTGATCCTCTGAGCCAGGTGGCATTTAGATGTGTTAATACCCTCTCATTTGCCCAGGTATTGATTTGAGCAGCTAAATGCAAAATTTGGACATCCTCTGTCTAAGAAAACTGGGCTTCCTTGTATTTTTAGGAATGCCTCTGTGGAAAGCATATTAAGATGAGCCCCTGAAAGTAGTATTTGTAATGTGTGTCCTGATCAGTTGTCTGGATGCTCAACTGACACCAGCTTATTGCTCCTCCAAGATCAATGTGAAAAATAGTGCTCAGTAGGTTTAGAATACTTGCATAGAGTGCCCTTTGTCCAAGGATTTCAGAGTGCTTCCAGTAGCAGCCAATTGCCTCTGTGAGCGAGGTAAGGGATATATAGGAATCCACTATTGAAATCATCCATTTCTCGGGTGAAATGTGGCAGGCTTTTAACAGCACACAGCGACACTCCAGCACAATTTAGGACAGTCAACGAGGACTAATGTATCCAGTTGAAACTGTAGGGGGATGTTAAGGAGGCAGTTTGTAATACCAGAGTTGGAATTTGACTGTCTTGTGTTTAACAGCCCTCTTCTTACACAATGGATCATGAGATCTCTGAGAACAAGTGGTCAAGATCTCTGCTTTGGGGTGAGATGACAGTGTCCATCATAAGAGTATCACTTAGTACCCATGATTTGCTTTCTGCTACGCTTGTCCTTACCCAGGGACCATTCAGTTTTAGCCTTTTTATTCACATAGCCTGGTGTCTGTTTTCCAGCAGTGCTGTGATCTGGGATACCATGCCAGCCTCAACAGAGCTCTCAGGACGTTCCTGTCTGCAGAGCTGAACCTGGAACAGTCCAAGCACGAGGGCCTGGATGCCATTGAGAATGCAGTGGAGAACTTGGATGCCAACAGTGACAAGCAGCGCCTCATGGAGATGTACAACAATGTCTTCTGCCCGCCCATGAAGTTTGAGTTTCAGCCCCACATGGGTGACATGGTCAGTTTATCTCCCTCTGCTCCAGCTCTGTAAACATACACAGAAATCTCCACCCCATTGAATTACATTGGAAGGATTAGATCTGTAGTAAAACAAAACTTCCCTGCTGTTAGGGCTCAGGGGCGTGTACTCTGGGTCACTGGGCTGGAGTTAGTGTGGAAGAATGGCCTTGAGACTGTATTGTTACAGGACAGTGTTGGCTAGGTAGGTAAGTGACATGGACTGCAACCTCTCTGTGGAGTCTTGTATATAGGTGGGAGGGAAAACTGCTACTCAGGATGAGATGGGGACAATGCAACTTCCATAAGCAGCTTCTTCAGCTATCCATACACTGCGCTTATGGCAACCTCCTCAAAAAGGCCACCAGTTTGATTACCACTTGGGAGTTGAGGGGGAGGCCTTGGAAAAGGGACACAGTAGGAAAATATAAGCCGTGGCATGGATTTCTGTAGGCTGCAATTGACTCATTTTGAGTAAGAAACCAACTGAAGAGGAAAGCAGCCAAATAGCTGTGATCCTAAAGATGGAGAAACACCATTGTTCCCTTCTCATCCATGCACCTTCTACCAGACGAGGACTCTCAAATTAGAAGACTGAAGTAACATCTGAAAGATTTAATCATCCCATACAGAGCCCAGCTCTGCTTCTGCAGCCACATTGCCCTCAGCTGCTTGCACAGACACACCACTGGTGCTTTCCAGTTACATAGGTTTGTGGAGGGTGCAACAAGAGAGGGCAGAGAGATCAACTTGAAATATCAACTTGATCACTTTCTCTCCCCTCTGACACCCCATTCCTAAGACTGAATTGCAGAGCTCTTGCTTGCTAATACTCCAGTGGAAGAATATTGTACCTTTATATCGAGCCCCTTTTCATTAGAGGAGCTAATTGGAAGAAAATCTACGCTGCAGAAAAGTCAGTATTCAGAGTCATTAACCTTTGCTACCTAAACTGATTCCTAGAGCCCTGCCACTGTCTGAAGAAAAATAGAAAGACAAGCAATTTAATATGCAGTTTTATGACGCGTTTGATTGTGAAGTCCTGGAGCACAAATGGTTTGTGGTGCTTCACACATTTTGTGGTGACACAAGGCAGTCGAAGGATTTTCATTTTTGGCAATGAAAATGTATTGCTCGGCAGCTTTATCGGTTGTGTCTGCATATCTGGGAGCCATGTTTGGGAGCCAACTGAAGCCAGCTCACAAATCTAAATGGCATTTGCCTGCAGTGTAACAACTTAGGTCAGTTGGCTGGATGTCTGGATAGTCCTAGCGAACATGAGGAAAGGCTAGAGAGATGCTTCCTGATGGCCAGTGTGCTCTTTCGTTCCTAGACATATAGACACAGCGTAAGGCTGTCTGTTTTTCTTCTTAAGTGGTGGAATGGAGGGCAGAGAACATGTGAAAACCCTGAGTTGGAAAGTGGCCTTTTTATTCTATACTCCTGCACAGATTAGTGTCCCTAGGATAGTAAAAAGGACTGCTCCCACCCAGCCAACTCGGCTTCTAGTCCCACATATTCATCCCCCCAACATATCCTTAGTCATGAGACTTGCTGATGTCCTGCTAACTTGATGTGTTATGTCTGTAGGAAGGTTTGTATAGCTCTCCTAGGATTGTTGAGGTGGTTCTTGTATGTATGAAATTTACTTTGTGTGGGAGGGGGAGGAGCTTGGTTGGCAACTTGAGCCTTAACAGATTGTAGCTTTCTGCCATGATATCAGCAGTTTATTCTTACCAAAGCGCATGGCTGCTGTGTGCTGTGAAACGTGAGCATTCTCTCCAGTACTGAGAGAGCCCAGTGTTTAGTATGTAAAAAGGTACTTGTCCGGCAGTCACATAGCAAACAGGTGTAATCCTTCCTGTAGCCATGGGGAATAATAGATACCCCAGGTGGACAAGCCAAAAGCCTGCTTTTTTCCTTCACAAAGTACTTGACTTGTTAGACCAAATTCTTCCTTGCCATAAGCTGACATAGATCCCATTGAAGTCTCTGGGTTCTGTTCAGCCTGTGGTCTCTAGTGCAAGTCAGATGTTTCAGGATTAGCTCATTGGAAGTGACTCTTGTTTCTCTTACTCAATTCTTCCTTGTCTTTTTTCTTTTTCTCTCTCCTATTTTGTTTGACTTTAGGGGCAGGGGATTGTAATTCAGTAAAACATGGGGCTTAGCTTTGATTTGTTTTGGCTTAAATTCAGAGACTTCTCAAGCACTAAAACGATCACGATCGTTGGACTGTTTAATACCGTAACACAATAATTATGATTTTCTTGGGTATTGAATGTACTGTGGCTCTCTCAAGGGGGCTTCTTTTTTGCAGGTGTCACAACTGTGTGCCCAGCAGCCTGTCCAGAGTGAGTTGGTGCAGAGATGCCAGCAGCTGCAGTCTAGATTATCTACGCTCAAGATTGAAAACGAAGAGGTGAGCTAACAAACCAACCAAAAAACCGCTTGCAGCATTTGCAATATTAGAATCTTCACACAGCCCAGGGACAAGGGAGTACCTCATCTCAATAAGCCTGCTTGCGCTGACCTGTGTAGGAAGATGTGGAAGGAGGGCAGCAGAGGGCTTCCATGTTTTAGTCTGTATCCCTGACTTTCCTTCCCAGCAGCTTTGCATGGGGCAGAAATTTCGAAAACAAATCCAGTGTTATCCTTTTTCTCAATCTGAATTGCTAGGCGTGGCCACGTCTCAGGAAACCACACCTGAATAGCAAAGGATCAATGATCTATCTTGTTTTAAAAAAAATAAACCTCAGGCAAGTCCTAATTTTTGTTTCACTTGAATGTTTAGCTCTCATGTAAACAATAGACTCTGATTTAATACAGTTCTTTCTTCTCATGGTTTATAAAACAAATCTATACTACAAATTTATCCCTTACAGCTACTGTTCAACATGTTTCTTTGTATTCAGCCTAATTTTACTAATATTTGCTGGCAGGTACTGGAATATTTCTCCCATGTGAAACAAGATGCTAGTCTATATTGGAGAATGTCTTAGCTCTTTTCTACAAATATAGAAGCATTTGCTGCTGCTGTGTTTTTTTAAAGTCTCAGTCCCTTGTTTACTTGTCTGGCCACAGAAGTCTTTACAAATGTGTTAAAAACTGTGCATAGATTAAAAACAGACAAATAAGATTGCACATCTGTACCTATGCATTAGTGGGTTTTTTAATTTGTATTTTAAGTTTGCAATCTAAACAATAAGATACTAGAGAATAAAGTGTTTACATGGCAGTTATTAGATTTGTGTGTGTAATATTGATACTATACTCTTAATCCGGAAAAAAAAGATGGTACTTGAAATATCTATTTTCAGTTACTTAAAAAAACTAGAAACTATAATCAGATATTACTTTCTGATATTCAAGTCCATCTCCTGTTCCATTTGGGCGTAGATGGCGCGGGGCGGACAGGAATTAAGTAATGGTACTAAGCTGATTTCATTGTGGAAGAACACACACATCAGGTTTCAGTGCTTGTGATCAATAAGTCACATACCTCGCTATCAGATTCTCTAAATGAAGTATATCTTTTCTCCTTCCATTGTCTGCTATTTCAGACAGTGACACTTAAATGCCAGCAGATGGGAAATGGTTAGGTATGAAAAAACTGGAGGCAGAGTGAGATTCCTTCAGTCCTTACTGTGGGGTGTTTGTGGTGAATTGGTTAAATTTGTTGTGCCTGTGTAGAAGGGCAGGTTTTGGTACCTGTTGTAAATAGCAATTCGGCTCTTGCCAAGTTGGGTGGCTACACATTTGGCACCTACTCCTTCACTGCCTGATGTCTGTTCGTTCACTGTGCACAGATGTAGATGACCGTGCAAGGCAGGAGAGAATCGAACAGTGTTTTTTTTTTTTAAAGATAAAGTGAATCTCTTTTTGAAAAGGAGATGGGGGAAATTAGCCTTTGGATCATATATCAGCACAGTGAGGCGCTCCCCCTCTTTCTTTCCCTCCCTTCCTAGCCCTAAGCATTCATCCCATCAAGGTCTAGTATCCTTCTCAGTCTCTTTGACCTGAAAGGATTAAATGGATGGCATTGCATGGGGAGCCCCTTAGAATATCCAATGCACACCTCCAACCCCCCTGCAATTTATCATCCTGTTTGTGCAGTCCCTTTATAGGCCCCAAGCAAGGAAGACACCTTCAGTAAAAGACTTGGCAAATTACAAGGAGGTCTTATTTTAATGCAGTGTGTTTTTTGTTTTGAAGCCCAATAGATTTAGTGACCGGAATAAAATGATTCTGAGCCTTCCACCATTCCCCCCAACACTTCTCTTTGCTATATGGGCAGATTCCCCTATTTCCCCCGCACCAGGGCACTGGAATAAAACTTTCCTTACCGCAGGGTTTGTACAGCATACAGCAATGCAGATTTATTTTGCTGCTAGCCGGTTGTTTACGTGGACTGTGCTCTGTTAATTAGCAGAGCTTGTACTGTGGTTACGGCCCATAGGACTCAAAGGCAGTCATATCCGTTTATTAATAAAATGTTCTGGGACACTGATCCCCTGTTTTTCACCTGCTGATTCTCATTATTTATTTATTTTTTATTTTAACTCCTCTTTGTCCTTGCTGAGGCAGGTTAAGAAAACTATGGAAGCCACACTGCAGACTATCCAAGACATAGTCACAATTGAGGACTTTGATGTCTCTGACTGCTTCCAGTACAGCAACTCCATGGAATCCGTCAAATCCACAGTCTCTGAAACTTTCATGAGCAAGCCAAGCATTGCCAAGAGACGGGCCAATCAGCAGGAGACGGAGCAGTTCTACTTCACGGTAAGGGATTTGACTTGCAAGGTGTTCACAATGACAAGAAGCTCTCAGGAACATTTGAGATGCTGCATTCATTGCCCCCTTATAGACATCCATGACTGTATTCTTGTTCTCTTGAGTTTTCCTATTTAATCTCCAGGGACAATTTTAATTTTTATAGGAAGCCATTTGAATCCACTTCTTAATGTTGGATAGCTCTTCCTGAAACTAGGAGAAACTTCCTGAAACTGCTTATTACCAGGTTTACACTTCACAGAGGAAATTAAAATGGAACAGAGAGAGCCCTGGGTTAGTCTTAGTTTGAAAGAATTTAAAGGGACAGTATTTTAATAATTTTTAAATTTTGATAACACATGCTTAATGAGTTTAGCTATACTTGTGCCTTCCCCCAGTAGGTAAATACTGACAACTTTGATTTGCTTTGTTGCTAATACAGAAAATGCCACTGTGGCTTAGTTGTTACTCTTTTCTTAACCCCAGCATCATACTATAGGCTCCGGTCCAGTAGCATGTGGACAGAGAGCACCCAATGGAGGCCCATGAGGTCATGGCAACTCTGCATAGGTGCGGCAGGTGGCCTGCATGCTGCAGTTGCAGGATCAGGGAATTAGATCCATAATCAGGAACTTGCACTGTTCCTGACAAAATGATCTACTGTAGATCCACGAGAAGGGAAAATTAGAGTGTTCCTGGTTTATTCTTGCTGCAGCCAGAGCTGGGTTTGTTTTTTTTTTAAAAAACAAATAATGAAATTTTGTTTTTAGATTTTTTTGTTTTTGTTTTTGTTTAAAAAAGACATACAAGTACTTTGTCTACTGAATAGAATTTAGTGTTTGGATTGTAATATGGCCAGGTGGTAAAATCTGGTCTCTCTCATCTGCCTACAGTGGAGCTGAAAGGACAGAGCTTAAAATTGTGAAGGGAAAATTCCAAGTTTCTTCTAGATTTACTGCCTTTCAGACCAGCATGTATTTTTTCCCCCTGAGTTGTGATCACTTATGTTGAGCTGCTGCATCATTTAATATTTTCAAAATATATTCTTCCAAAAAGCAGATGAAAACCAAACCTGTAAAGTTCATTACTCTGACCCCTTTTGAGAGCCTACTGCTATATTTAAAGCTTTCCTATTCCTCTTATGAGAATGGTGTTGCTTATTAAAATTGTGAAGCTCTGTGCAAATTACATTGGCTGACAGGATGGTTTTTGTCAGGTCTAGTCTAATAGTAAACTCTCCGATAAACCTATCATCCCTTAGAAAAGCACTCCAAATGCTTAAAAATAATGCATTTAAATGTAAAAGTATTCTTCTAAGGTGAAACTCGGTTAGCAAAAAGTGGGCAGGTGAATTGATAGAATTAAGAAGCAATTGACTAGCCTGCTTGTGATTATGGAACTAGAAAAACGATATCTTAAATTGAATTTCAGGTATTCCCTCTAGAGAGAGCAGATGCTCTATGTGCAAATATGCACGTGCACATAGGGTTAGTTTACTGTGATTTTTATCTATGCACGGTACTTTTCCATTTCGCAGTGTTAATATCCTGCTCCCATGCAGCCAGACCAGTGTAGTCCCAGAAGGATTGTAGGGCTGTCTCCAAGAAATGAAGGTGCTATTTATCATGTCATATGCAACCATGATAAAATAACTGGGAACTGAATGAGGCTGATGTATGAAGGACCCTGTAAACAGTCAAATCAGATACTTTATTGATTTTTTTTTTATTATTGGACAGACTTATAAATATCCTTAAGAATTCCAGACTTTGAATCTGTAAAGATCGGTTGTTTCCTCATACATAGAAATGAGCTGAAGAGCATTAATGAGAACTAGGATAAAGCCATGGTAAAGGCAGTATTGTTAGGAGAGAGAGAGAACCAAAATACACAGACCTTTTAAGGTACAGAACAGACCCCTGTAAAGGAAAGACACCTATCTCCTCTCATTTCATATACTTCTGTATTGCAGATCAAATGTGATGCATATACACATACACACACGCACCATGTGTGTGCGCGCACGTATATATACGCACATGCACATGCACAATGCTCACTGGAAGGTAACAAGAAGCAACTTTAAGTATCAACATAATCCTTGGTTCCAAATCAGTATTTACATACCATGCTGTTTGCTTTTGAACTTTTCAGCATTCATATACTGTGGTGGTAAGTACAATATGTAAGAGGGATTGCGTTCAGAAAACAAGTTTAAATTTAATAGTCTGCAAAGGATAGGAAGGAAGGAGAATGACTCCGTTTTCCCATCTGTAAAATGGGGATTAATTTTGGCTTTATAGTTAATTATAATAGTTTTAAAAATAATATTAAGCAACACTACAATGCTTGCTCTCTTCAAAGTGCTTTACAAAAATGAATTTAATAAAATTTGACAAAACTCATGACATGAGTAAGTATTTCTAATTTCATCGATAATTAATTTTACAGAAATGTCATGCTGCTTCTGTCAGTGTACCACTCTTTCTCTTTTAATCACTACCATTAGCACAGTGGTGTGATGATCTGATTTACTCATTGCATTCTGGGAACATTGCTAATTGTGCTGATTGCATCCACGTTGATGTTGTTTTTAAAAAATAAAAAAATAAGCTGCTCTGCCCAGATTTGAGATGGAGCCAAGGATATGGGACATGTGACAGAAACTATTTCCATATAGTCTCGAAAGCATAACTGTCTGCCTTGGCAGCAAAGCAGGAAGATGTACTCTAGTTTACACTTTGCTCTATTATGCATTCCACCTGACAGCTGCTTCCTGCTGGAAAAATTTGAACAGGCTCGGGGTGGGGGAGGGTATTAAAGGTGCGTGGATGTGAGGAAGACAGCCATTGCAATGCGTACACTGTTACTAGTTAACAGAGCCTCCTTTCTGAGGTCTTTGCAATATGGAAATTGTATTGTCACTGCCGTCTTTCTTTGTCCTCTTGCGTCTGATTGTACTTAGATTAAATCCAGGCCAGAAATTAAATCGTGTGGAGTTCACGCATACTTTTGTGTTTGTTTTTTGCTGTTTGAAACCGAATGCTGCTGGATCTTCATAATTCGTCAAGAAAAACCTGCAGGTTTGATTTTAAATGGACGTCCTTTTTATTTTGTGTGTGCTCCTGGGAGGTGGCAGGCTCTGGAAGGTGGATTTAGTGTACTATGAAGAGGATATGAAATACCAGTAGTCAGTAGGAACCATTGTTTTCTTTGTAGCAGCAATAGAGAACTCTGCATTGGGCACAGTGTTCCTAATGTAACTCATAGAGACACCTCACAGCCTCAGAGACCAGAATAAATGTCAGAGAAATGCATAATGTATTTCTCTGGAACCCTGAGTGTTTGATAAGCTCTATATACAGGAATCTTTTCTCGCCTCTGAAGTGCGGCCACCTCTGAAATAAAACAAGGCAGTTCAGCGTGGCACCATGCGAATTTAGGGTAGTATGTGACATTCATCACTTGCTATCCTAAATAGTGATGAGAGTGTGTGTGTGTCATATTGCAAGGGGGAATTTTCAGGCTCAAATTCTGCTTTAGCCATGAGGCTGGAGCTAAACCCCACCTCCTTTACTCATAAGTTATTTTAATGACCTCAATTGGCCAGGAGAAATGTTTTGTTTCCTTCATGAGATGGCACCTCCAGTGTCGCATATGGAGCACCCTGGGTTTTACAGAAATATCCGTCAAGTGCAGACCACCTTCAGCTCTGCTTTGATTGCATGCCTTAGATAGTATGGCTGTTTTTAAAGCTGTTCTTTCAGATTGTGGCCTGTCTGCCTTCTCCACAGCATGGGGCACGGGTCACTTGAGGTTTAAACTAGTGTAAACGGTGGATTCTTTGTAACCTGAAGTCTTTAAATCATCATTTGAGGACTTCAGTAGCTCAGCCAGAGGTTATGGGTCTATTACAAGAGTGGGTGTGGCCAGCAATGAGAACTAGGACAAAGCCATGGTGGATACAGTACTGTTAGAGGAGAGGGAGAACCAAAATATATAGATGTTTTAAGGTACAGAACAGACCCATGTAAAGGAAGGACACCTTTCTCCGCTCATTTCATACACTTCTGTGTTGCAGATATATGTGGCATATATATGTAGATCATGATGGTCCCTTCTGGCCTTAAAGTCTGAGTATCTATGTGCAGCTCCTCAGGAGCAAGGATTCATGGTCAAATGGGATCCAGGAGGGCAATCTCGTACCTCATCAAATGGTTATTTGTTTTAATGGGATCTTGACTGACAGCAGGAAGTAAACCATTGACCTATGACCAGTCCTGCAACAAAGGTTTCTCTAATCACTGCACAACCTAGCCAAGGAATGCTTTGGCATCTTGTTCATCCACATCTCCCACATCTCAGTGACTGACTTTACAGACAGACTGAATCTTCATTTTGATCTTCAATTTCTCATTATTTTAAGTCTTTCCTCCCCCCCAAGATCTGCTGATGTCTCATGGGAGATGTTTCTTAAAATCCATTCGTCACAGAGGGCTTTAGATTGTTGATGTTCAGGAGTTTCTCATTTCCTTTGACCACAGTGTCCTGTGTGGTGTGTTTGTTTGGTAACTGGAGATACTCTCATGCAAACAGTGTTTGTCTATTAGAAAGTCATGAACTTGTACTGCTAATTTAATGATATAATGTGTTGGGTAATATCATAATTAGCTGGTGTGAAGAATGCTGATACCAGACGGTTAAGAGCCTGGCATTAAGGAAGGAATAAGCAGAAGACCAGATAGAATTTCAGAGAGAAACAGATCCTATTTTCATGCAAATAACCGTCCATGTGGCCTATCCATATCAGTATTTAATATCCTTAGCTGAATAATAAATAGGATAAAGAGGCGAAAATTGCGCGTTAAAGCAGAATTGTGTCTAACGAGGATATTAATCAATTTTGCCATTAGGAGTCAGTGATCCTTTAATACTATCCGTACCTCCCTACAAATGGCATCCTTTTACATTCTTCGTCAATATGCAAAGAGATGCAGCCAAGAAATACAATAATGCAATTCCATCAAGGTGGTTCATAAACCATGAGACAGTAGCTGAAGCATTTTGTCACAAGAACAAAGATGAAACTTCATTATACACTTTAGTTTTATATTATGGAATTAAAAGGGGTGTTTGATTTGTTGGCTTTTCTTTTGTGTTCCATATGCCAAAAAATGTGTACACATTTCCAATGTTCTGCCTAACTAGAAGGAATAGAACTGTCACATCAGCTGTGGGGGAACCGGATGGCTCAGTGGATTGGTAGTGGGGGAGAACATATCACAGCCATGTCACGGATTCTGCTCTCATCCAGAATGGTGGTAGTTTAAAATCTGTAGCTCTTGGGTGCTTTCATTTCAGCTCCTAGTGGACATGCAAACCACCCCACACAACGGATTAGCGCTCTTGTTGGTTCTCTCAGCCTAAAGGCCAAGAAGCGAAGAGGTCATGGAGACTGAATGGTCCTTACACCTAGAGGTGGTCCCTCCCTGAGGGGAATGGTATCTTCACAGGCCAGTGTGAGCAAACACTGGCTTGCCGTTGTCCTTTGTGTACTTGGTCCATGGAAAAATAGGAGTTCAGTATGTAGGGTTGCCAATCCGGTATCTCTTCACAGAACAAAACATAGTTTCTTTAAGCTGTGGGGTAAGGGGTGGGGGAAGCAAACTAGTAATCCTGGTGGGAAATTTTGAATTCACTTTATTTTTTCAAATATACAGCTTAGTTCCTTGCTGTAAGTTGAAATGTAAAAAGCCTCTGACCCAACTCCCTCCTCCCCGCCTCACCACAACAATAATTACAAATATAAAAATAAAACCAATAAACTATACATTGGACAAAGGAAAACACCTGCATTTGGTTTTTGGCCTGAATAACAATGAAAATCCAGTTTCTACTGGGTGTTCATTATAATTGTCAGAAGGTGCCAGGAGATAGTGAATACAGAAGTAAAGCAAGAATGACAGTCTTACTCTGTCTATACTTCAGAAAGAAGCGTAGGTCTCTGGGGAAGCAAGTTTATTTGTGGATCTTTAAACTTTGGATTTACCCATTGGCCACATCTTGCAATGTTTTGCCCCTATTCAGCTCTCCTTGACTTCTGTCAGAGTTGAGGGAGCTCAACACCTTTCAGAGTCAGACTTATCTCCCATCCCAACTCCCTGGAGCATGAAATGCAATATCATTTGGCCGTTTTGCATGAGGTACGTAGGGACGAAGTCCCAACCTGGTTGTCTGTCAAAACTTGAGTGAAATTGTCTAGATATGAATAGATGGATGCGACTTTCAGGTTTAAAAAAAAAAAAATTAGAATGCAAGAAGCAGCCTATGCTTGGAATAGATTTGGACAGATTCTGGGAGGAAATCTCCAGTCAGCACTAAACTTTGGTACAAGGTTCTTTTGAAGGTTCTGAAATGTTTGGTTAACTTTAATTTTTAATTTATTTTGCCACTCACTTCGATGCTTCCTGCTTTTATCCAGGACCAAAGCTGTTGATGTACCAGCCCGCAACAAAGCCGTAAATGCTGCAAGTCTCCCAAGAGACTTAGTTTTGATGAAATTCCTACTCCAGTTCAGAGTCAGGAGCAGCATCCTGATTTTTGGCCACTAATTAAAACCCAAATGCCAATCTTCTTTGTGACTGACTTGTCTCTAGAAACTAACAGTCAGCAGACCCACAACTTGGGGCTTCTGGGCTCCTAAATAGTTTTACTTTCCCTTGATACTGTCTATGTATCCTGTTCCATGATTCTTCTCACCCTTTAAATATATTTATAGCGTGCCCATTGTTATGACCCACACAAGACCAACAGAGGAAAATAGCACTTTAAATTAAGACACCCTGTGTATTTCAAGGAGCTTAGGTCTAAATTTGACACTACAAAGCTAGAGTGAAAGACAGTGGATAGAAATGAGGTAAGATGAGGACAAGAGTTGGAATAATTTATCATAGGATATTGTCTTCACTTGAACTCCCTTTCTATTGGTTATTTTTGAAATGTTGTAGTGTATTATACGATAAAGTTGTGTTCATCACTAATATTTGAGCAAAAGATTATAAATGCTTAACCTGTTCCAACTGTAAACTTGACACTGATCTTCTATACAGCACTCTGTACACTTGCAGCATGTTAGCAATGAAGAAAAATGTATTGTCCTCCAGAATAAGGGATGAAACAGTTTATAAATCTCTTCTGAAGAGCTAGGAAAACCCATCCACCTCAAGAGAAACAAATAGAGAATGGTCTGTGATATTTTAGCTTGAGATGAGCAGAGCAAATGTCATCTTTGTTGGGTTTTTTCCTTTCCTTATTGTGTATCCAGAATAGAGGCAGATGCAGCATCTGACGAGTAAAGTGGGGTGAGAGAGGTTAAGTGAGAGAATAAGCACAGTAGCAGCCTTTTAGTTTGTTAAAACAGATTGGTCATTCAGTTGTCGGTGACGTGATGAAAGTGCATTTCTGTCCCTCTCTCTGTCTGGAGAGCAGGGTGTAAGACGGCCACTTAGATGTCTCAGACATGCCAAGCATTCAGTTGAGAGTCAGTCCATATCTAGACTGGGGCAAGAGAAATGAGATGGCAGATTGCTGGGGTATGGGCTGAGACTCTGATGTACGTCTGTAGATTTATTTCATCCTTCTCGCTGTAGGGTTCACAACTGTATGCAGAGTCCAGCAGACCAAAGGTTGTCATCTGAGAAATAAACACCCCATTGATGGTCTTGCTTTTCTCTTTCACCCCAACAGAAAATGAAGGAGTACCTGGAAGGCAGGAACCTGATCACTAAGCTCCAGGCCAAGCATGACCTTCTTCAGAAGACACTGGGAGAAAGTGAGTATGGGACCTGCTTGTCACTGCATTAGACAGTCAGCTATAGTTATTAAATTAGTCAGCTGACTGAGCGTAACTGTCCTAGATTACCAGTGCTAAGCGGACATATTCATGTTTTATGAATTTATTTTTTCTGGCTTACTTGGTGCAGCACTATATGGGTGCTTGAGTAATTGTGAAAGGCAAATGCAAATGCTTAATGAGGTACTAATGTGCCTCATCTATTTGTTTAAATGAAGAATGTGCCCACTCAGGGCCCCCCCTCCGTTCATAATCTGAACAGAGGTAAACCTTGTGATTTACTGTTTACTGCTGATCTTAGAAGCATTGCCTCATTAGGGTGGTAGAAAGATTTGTTTGCATGGTAGATGAGCTGCTTTTCACCTCTGTAGGTTCAATCCAAACCAGGCTAATGCAGAACATGACCTTTATTCGTGGAAATAGAAATTTCAGAGCAGACAGAATGTGTTGCCTCCGCATCTATTTGGCACGAAGCAGCAGTCAAGATTGAATGTTCCCACCACTGCTGGCCAAACACACACCTCAAGCAATGCATCCATGTCTGCATGCAAACCTCCCCCGCCAGCATTTGCGGAGAGGATGGATTGGCAGTCTCAATATCTAGTCTGACTCCTAGAACCTTACATTTACATGATAGCAGGGCCTGCTCCTCTTTGCTAGGTATCTGAATTGAAGGCCACAAAGTTTATAGTGTGCAAGTTGTCTTCTGGATGAGAATTTAAACAGTGTGCAGGTTGTAAAGTGTTTGCTTTCAGGATAAAAATGTTCTTTCTCCCCCTCTTCCCCGCCCCCAACAAAAAAAAAGCTTCATGTTAATCAGACCAAACCTGTAGGAAGTGAGGAAAGGATATTAAGATTCCCTTGTCTCTACAACTGTCCTAGGAAGGGGAATCAGAAACGCTGTTTCCTTAAAGCATTTTTCCTCTGTCTCTAAGCATCTCCAAATGACACCCAACCTGCCCCTGTGACTAATCACATTCCTGGTTCATAGCTGACCCCTGCATACCATGACCTCTTTCCTCTTAACCTGCCTGCCCCTTGAACTGATCTCAAGCTGAGGGGCAGAAGGCAGGAGCAAGAGGAATGTTTAATGTGTTGGTTGTATCTCTCTAGATTTAGAGGCCCCTGCTGTTTGTGGTTGCTTTGCAATGCTTAAACTTCTTTGGAGCTGAGCTTGTGAAGGGATCTGGTGCATGTCAGAGTGAGCAAGAGCCACTTAAAAAAAAAAAACCACCGCGCGCACACACAAATACCTGCTGTTATATGTGAGATCAAAGGAAACTGAGGTGCATTATGCCTCCAATCCAAACCAAGGAAATCAATGGGATAAACAGAGTTGGGTGCTCAGCATCTAGCCCCATTTATAAAATGTCACTTAACTGGGAGTGGGTATACTAAAACCTTTCACGCATTGCGTCAGTCTCTCTCTAGGAAGTTTTGCCCACTGAAATGCAATGCGCAGCTGCATCTCTCCAGACACTGGGGAGTACATGTTTCTATTTTTTTGTTTTTTGTTTTTTTCCTTTAGGTTACATTTTATCACTCCTCTTGCAAATTACCTTAATCTAAAGATGACAAGTTCTGGTAATAAAAATACCAGCAGGTCTTCCTTTCGACAAGTAATTATGTCTCTGACTGTCTACATTTGTCACTGTAATGTAAGAGCCCCTTGATGTTGCCACAGCCGTGTAATTTATATGTATGATGGTAGGGACAGATGGTTAGGAACTCTGGTTCTGAATAACATTTTTATAAATTATGCACCATTTTGGTTAAATGAGCTTTTACGCAAGGAGGGGAAAGTGGCTGCTCACAAAGTGTTCTATTGATTCTCAGCAATCAACAATTAGCCCTTTTCATTCACTCTCTTCTACCCAGGTTCAGGGAGGCATTAAACTCTGGAGGGGAAAGGAGAGCCAAATCATTAGCTGGTGTAAATCAGCATAGCTGTGATGTTGATTTATGCCACCTGAGGATCTGGCCTGGAATGTTGGGTTATCAAAGGTACTTGCCAAATATTGTCTCCTTTTTTCCTTACTGTGCTATTTTAAAATGCTGCCTGTCTCATCAGCAGCCATGGTAGCTTGGTCCCCAAATTGCGAACAGAATGAAAGTTAATGGAACAATTTTGCAAATATGATTGCGGAAAATATCATTAAAGCTCTGCCTCCTGAAATAGCTAAATGCTAGCACGTCAAGCCTGTGGGCTAACAAATCAGAGAATGTTTTCAATCTTCCTAAGTGGTTTCATAAAGTATAATCTCTCTCCTCCTCCCCCCCCCCCGGACAACCTCCCTCCCAGCTCCCTTGGGAAGGAGGAGGAGGGAGAGGTTGAGAAGGCTAGTTTTTTGGCAGTGAAAGTCAACAATTAGAGTGCACGGGAACCAATTTTCAGATACAATGCTTTCCAGAGAGAGAGAGTCCTCAGGCAGCCGAAGCTGGTTTCTGCATTTCCTGGTCAGCCACAGAGGAGCCTTGCCAATGGGGATGGGCTCACATGATCTTAATAGCAGCAGTTCTTGGGGGAAGCAGCCACATTGTCACTCCTTAAAGCTGTTGTTCTCCCTTCCCCACGCTCTCCTCTCCCCCGCTTCCAAATTAAGGTCTGCATGTCCGTCAAAAGCCTTTTCCCATTTCTGTTCTCTGGTGCAAGCCTTTATATTTCTTTCTTTGTCTCCCTAACAGGTCAAAGGACTGATTGCTCCCTTGCCAGGTAGGTGTGGCTCAAATAAACATTGTTTAAAAAAGAGCCTCTTCCAAAAAGACAGCTGACAAAAGGAGTCAGTCACCAACTCAGGACCTGTGTAGATTAGGAAGAAAAGGTGGGGTTTGCGAATTTCCTGTTAAGCAACACATCTTTAAGCACCATTGCCTTTGTCTGATCTAGATGCTAAATGATGTCCAACTTCACGAACACCATATTGCTAAACACACCTTGTTTTTCTAACCTAGATGGGGTCCTGGACTCTTCAGGATTTATCCACATGGGGGCGGGGGGAGGGACAAGAAGCCAAGCAGCATCTTGAAGTGCTTGTGATTGCTTAATAGGAGGGTGGGGGGGAAGAGAATGGTCATAGAGGCGTTTTCTTCTCCTTGCCCTGCTGACCTCATCTGGCCTGACATGGAATTGGATTGCAGCACAGAGAGGCCATGAAGAATAAATATTTTGCTGTAACTGAGGCCAAGTATCAATCACGGTGCCGTAGAAGTCACCAAATATGTGAAACTCAGCCTCTCATCATGAGGGGTGGGGGGCTTTCTGGGAAATGTAACAGTTCTGTGTCTCTGAATTTGTTTTTGGGGGCTGTGTTGGCCACAGGGATTGTGCAGCGCGCTGGCTGCTTAAAGTGAGGGTGATTACTGCAGATCTGAAATCATTACTCCATTTTCCCCATTCCTCACAGTAAAGCAGAGCTGACAGGTCCTAATTAGGGTCTGACATCTGTAATAATAAAATATTATTCATTGTGAAACAACTTTAAATATCAGAATCATTTTCACCAATAGTCTAAAATATACCTCACTGCCTGTGACAGCTCATGAAATCTGCTTTCTTGCTTTCTCACTACATCTCATTCTTTTAAAAAAAAAAATCTGCAAAATGAACGCTATAATTGTGATTCTTAAACACAATAAAATTGACATACTTAGAATTCCGCAGTCAACTATCCTGGCAGGCAGTTGGGCTGAATGATCCATTAGGCTTTCTCTATCCTTATCTCCCATGATTCAGTTTTATTGAAAGCTAAGAATTTCTAAACCCCAGAAATAAGATAAAAGGAAGGACTTTCAGCAGAGCAGGCTCAGACCTCCTTCAGATCAGGCACTAATATCCGCCTGCATAAACAATAATTATGAAGCCATTTGTAATCATGATTTTGTTATTTGGAAATGGTTTAATTTGGTGTCCATTTTTTATTTTTTTATCACAGGTTATTATAAAGAATGCATTAATATGCTTATATTAACAGCACAGAGGGAAACCAATTTACTTTTTTTTCCCCCTCTCCCTGTGGCTTTAAATCATCCAGTACAATGGACCTACTTTGGAGAGGTGCTCTCTGAAAATTATAACCAACTTGATTTAGAGTGAAGGGGTTTATATACTGGATTTTCATATGGTTGGAAGGAAGAGGTTAAGTACAGGCTTGTGTTAAGGCAATGGGCTCCCCTGTTCCAGTTTCAGGATTACTGTGCTTTTATATTAAATCACTTAGTCTTTCCAAAGTTCCTGTGAACTGACAGAGTGTATATCATTGAATTTGTTTCCCATATCTGGGTCCTTTCCCCACCAAGACTGAGTACAGTTTTTGAAATACCATACAAGCAAGTATTTTGGTTGTCAGTGGTCACCTTGACATTTGCCTGTGTTCTTTCCTCTCCATCTTCCACCGATGATCCGTTCTGGGCTTCTGATCAGTGGCAGACGCAGCTCTACTATAAGGAAGCAGGTAATAAAGAACTCACTCTGTGTGTGGGGATGGGGGGTTATTTTTGTGTCTGTCTCTTGCATAGAGCTTTTTTGTATGTTCTTTTTTGAGTGTTTGGGAATGTAAGAACTGAAATGGTAAAAACCTGGATCTTCCATAAACCTTTTGCAGTCACCTTTTTGGGCAATAACAAACTTCATTTTTATGTTTTTTGGTATTTTGAGAAAGCTCTGGTGTCCAGAATTCCATACAAGTTCGATGCAGTCCTATATTCTGAGGCTGTAACTTCTTCTGGACAGGCATTGGTTGAGATATTCAAAGCCATCTGTCAGTTTTTGACACGCATCTTCCATTAAAATTAATGGCAACTTGGAAATCAGGACTGATCTTTTTGTGTTTTGTACAGTGTTGAGTGGATTGTCCATACTAAACCAACAATAAATAATGATCTTGGAAGGATGATATTTGGGGGTGTGGGATAGCTCAGTGGTTTGAGCGTTTGCCTGCTAAACCCAGGATTGTGAGTTCAATCCTTAAGGGGACCATTTAGGGATCTGGGGCAAAAATCTGTCAGGGGATTGGTCCTGCTTTGAACAGGGGGTTGGACTAGATGACCACCTGAGGTCCCTTCCAACCCTGATATTCTATGGCTCTATGACTTGGAGCTCAGGCATTCCCAATTACTGAACAATTTTGGTTAAAGGCTGATACTGAATCAGCTCAATAACTTAGTTATAATAGTACTTGCCCTTCTGTAGAGCCTTCCATCAGAGAGGCTCAAAGCATTTGGCAAACGTTAATGAGTTGAGTATTCGTGTGACATTGGATAGTATTATCCCCATTTTACATATGGGGAAACTGAGTCACAGACCGTAAGTGATTTCCCCCCCCATGCCACATAGTGTCTGGAAGAGCTTGGAATAGAACCCAAGCTGCCTGACTCTCAGCTGCTTCTTGAGCCATGTTACCATCTTCCTACTCATCATGTGGCATCGTTAGACTCTGTCCTATAGTAGTCTTCCTGAAGAACAATAGGTATGTTAGTTATATGGTTCATATGAGAGATACTTTCGTTGAAGAGTATACTTTCAATCTGTTAACTTGTGACAGAATAGGGCAATGTATTTATCCTACTTTAGTTTATCTTCACCCATGACAGGTGTGTGTGCTTGTATCACTGTCTTCTATGGGTGGAACTATCAGACCTGCTTGTCTGTGACATCATTACCCACTAGCAGCCTACATAAACTGCTTCACTAAGGTTCACAGTCCATTGTTTCCTGATGACATATATTATTTCTACTGCTATTTGTTCTCTTTTAAATTCACATTTCTATTAAATAAAGTTGTAACTGCACGCTGGCCATACCTTTCATAATAAAAGGGACTCCAAGGAATTCTAAGGATGCTTTCTTTTCTGTCCATAGTGGATGACTTATTGCCTTTTAAACTATGACATTTTAATAACAAAGGAACTAGATCATGTTAACCTGGGATAGGAAGGAGCTGGAAAAATTTTTTCACATCCAATAGAGACAAGATTTGACTTGAAACATCATTTCATCTGCTCCTCCTTTGGTCCCTTTTCATTCTTGAGCAATAGCTTACAGAATCTGTCTGCTGACACTTTTCATTAGCCAGAAAGTAGGTTGCAGTTGCTGTTAGAAGGCATTGTATATAGCAGGATAGCCAGCACCATGCGTGTCTTGTTAGTATGTTGGTAGTTTGAGGGAAAGGCAGACTGTATTTTACATTTTTCTTTCCGATTTAGGAAATTGTAGGCACGATATGTCCCTTGCTATATTTTGAGCAATGATTATAAGCTATGTTTAAAATCCAGTATGCTGATTTTTGAAAACCCACTTTCCATGTTACATCTCAAGATTTTTGGCTTTATCATAATTTAGTATGTAGGCTGCTGTGCTGCAGCTAGATGAAAGGTATAGTCTTATTTATTTTGGGATGCTGGAGGGCAGGGGAGAGTTTGTAGAAATATCTGCCGTGAATAAAAGCTATATAAATTGAATGAAAATCTGAATCTTTATTTAGAGAATTTGCATTTCAAGTTGTTTGCAGGCTCTCCTATGCAGCAGAGCTGGATCTTTTGAATATCCTGAACTCATCTGTTGTGGAGATTGTTGCTTTGTTTACACACTAGTAACACTCTTTCAACAGGAAGTGAAATAGCTGCGTGTCTGTTTATTAATAGCCATTCACAGTAGTGTTTGAGGGCTCACAATGTATTCTGTACTTGATTGGAGATGACATACTATACCCTGTGACTTGAAAACCTAAAAGCTAATCCGTTTGGAAAAATGAGTGCCTCTGTGCCTCAAATAATCCACATGAAATCACTTGTGTGTGACTCTTTTGAGTGTGACCTACCAATTTAAATTGCACATCGTTCAGAAATTATCTCTTTGAGGACAGAGTGTGTTTTTCTCTATAAAGTTCATTTGGTGCCTCTCTGAAATGAGCTGTGTAAATCGGTGGTGCTATTTGGATGATTATTAATAAACTCTTTGTCATTCGCCAAGTAAGCTGCAGGTTTCCATAGTGTTTCAAAGCACTGTTGTATTGCAAAGTGTGTCCTCTTATACAGCTTGCAGAAAGCTAGTGCAATCCAGATAATGAGGAGGGAAAATTGTTAATTACAAAATTACATTTGATGTTTTCCTAAAAGATCTGCTCTGGGAATTACTTTGGGGAAGTTCCCTGGCCTGGGTTATACAGGAGGTCAGACTAGATGATCACAATGGTCCCTTCTGGCCTTGGAATCTATGAATTAAAGGAATTCTACAGCCCACTAAAAGGAAAATCACTAAACCTTTTAAAAAATATATTCAATTAAGTCACTTAACCTCTGTGCCTTAGTTGACTCTTTTCTAAAATGGGAACAGTAATACTCTATCTCACAGATATTGTTGAAATCTAATTGTTTGCAAAGTATCTTGTGATCCTCTGAAGACAGGGGCTAGAGAAGTGCATTGAACTGTTCGCCTATTACACAACTTCATCACTGAATTGTTTATGGTGGAAATTGGCAAGCTAGAAAGTGTCATTTACTGTGTTCTGGCCCTGGCCCAAAGAACAGCCTGCACTCCAAGCTGTCATTGTGAACTGGTATTTTGACAGTACTCAGTGCTTAGCCCAAAGGTCAGTGAGCATATGACATCTAAAATGTTTTTGCAATAAAATGTCAGGAGCTTGTTCTGCAAAACCAAAATTTGTCATGTTTGGGATAAATGGAAATCAATCTGAAAAATGTACAAATATGGACTCAGCCAGAGGGCCACAACTTTGTGTGGGTATGCGCTGCACGAGATGAAGGAAGGGCATAGTAGGTTTTCTCTCTTTTTCCTTCCCTGGCACCTTGTGCACCAGTTGAGCACAGGTGTTGTGCAGAGTTAGTCATTACAGCAGCACCAACTGGCCTTCTCAAAGCATGATGTTGGCAAAGCTGGCCAGCCACAGGGAGCTCGTATGACACCACTGGTGCTATAACATTGCTGCTTCCAGAGGCATTGCATGGAGCTGTGCCCTAAAGGTGTTAATGCAGCCCAATAACGGTCTTCTACACTGAGTCCAGATCAGAATTGGTGATCCTTGGTTTTGACTTGGTGCTTTTTCATTGCACATAGATATATTTATTCCTGTATAGCTTGGGATGGCAGTTACCATCTCTGCAAAAGGCAGTGTTATGTCTCTAGGATAATTCACAAACCAAATAGTACCTCCTTCAGAGACTCTGCTTCGGGCCCTGTGGACAGCTCTGTTCCCAATCCCTGGCAGAAGGTGTATTGCTCCATGAAGTTTTGCTTGTGGATTTCAGAGTTGTTTTTTATTTTTCAGTCAGCTCTGTGCTTGACTATTTGTTTTAATTTTCTCCCTTGGTTGCTCAGGACTCCAGCCAAGCCATTCCCCTTGTGGTGGAGAGCTGCATACGATTCATTAGCAGACATGGTAAGTTTACAGATGACAAAGTAATCATTTTTTCAAATGCCCCTTAACAGAATAAGGCAGGCAAAACTTTTTTTGTTTTTTAAGGGTGTGTAAACTCATCATGAGGAACCAGAAAACCTAGATTTGGATCCCGCCTCTGAACTCTAGGAAAGTTGACATCCAAATTTCATAACCTGAGTCCGTCCATCTCTAATTTAAGTGAATCACATGGCTGCTTCAATGTGCGGAGTCTCTTGTGAATGTTTAGAGTAGCCTGGTGCAGAACATGTGTGTTGGAATCCTACAGCAGGCACTACTAAGAACTCCCCACTGTCCACTTGGAAGAGTCAGTAGTGCTGCACTATTGTCTATCCTAAGCATAGGAAGACAGATTGGCTGCTGCAGGTACTTGAGGTGGGGAATGCTAAGCACTAAATAGTGCCTCCTACATGTATCCTTCCTTCCCAGCGGGGAGTTACTTGGATACTGCAGAAGTGTTCAAGTTTCCTTAGGTTTCATTCAATGTGTGTCCCATAGCTTCTTGTCTTCAGTCTTGCATGAGGTTGGAAGATTATCCCTCTGACTGGGGCAATATTACCAGGCCTTTGTGTTCAAGTTGTTTCTGTGCCTTTATCTCTTTTCTTGTCATGTAACCTCCCTCCCAATATCTGTCTTGCCTACTTACAACTCTCCCCGGCCTCACGTTCTGAGCTATTCTCCTTGCCCACAATATTCAAGTGACCGTTCACGGGAGCTGAGGTGCAGATTTATTTGCTTGGATAAAGGATAAATGTAGCATTTTAAGATAAACATCTTCCACACATTTTATTCTAAGTTGTGTGTGTTTTTAATTAAATGTTATTTAATAATAGCATGAAGAACGGCTGCTAGTCAATAAGCTTGGGGTTTGTTTTCATCTAACCAATACACAGAGCCAGAGAATAGGTTCAATTGTACTTTGCTTTTGTTTTAATCACTATTGCAGGTTGGAAACTATTGTGTAGGTTCTCCCCACTTTTTCCCTTTTGGAGTACCAAATAAAATATATGCTAAAGAAAGCACAATTTGGGATTAGAGACATGTGCTCTTCTCGTACAAATCCATGTCAAAGGAGAATTATAAAGAATTGATGGCTTAACCCGTTAAAGTTAAGTTCTGTAACATGGTTATTACATCTTGCATCTGAATTGATGCTTTTGAATAAAGATTTCCCTGTAGATAGTGGATTGATTCCATTTTCATTCTCAGTTTGCTGCATTTCGGTATATATTTATTTTCACTGTGCAATGTGATATGTGTGCTGATGATACCAGGAATAATTAAGGGCCATGTAACACAAGAATGTCATTGCTTGTGGATTAAAATAGTACCATAATTTATGAGACGAAGAGCTGGCCACAGATGATCCAAAAGAGCTTATTAGTTACATATACAGTGCCATAAACCTACAGTACATAGAGCTTTGCAAAAGTCAAACTCCCTGCCCCTGTCCAGAGGCTTGAATAAATACAACCATTTCCTTGTGCTGGAATTATTTTAGAAGTTAGGATGTTGGCTTTAAATGTTTGCTGCTCATATTTCATGTTCCAACAAAGATATTTTATAGGAATCCATTGGAATCCATCAACTACTTGCCCCCATTAGTTTTAATGATTTTATAATACTTAACTACTCTACTGGAATATCCTGAAAACTCCCCTAGAGTCCCAAATATCAAGTCACATTAGTGGTAGTTACATTCTGTAATTTCAATTGAATAAGTTGTTCACTTCTTGTCGTAACTATTTTCTATTGTTGCTGTTAAACAATAAAAAGTTGCTGTGTTCTGCCCAAGGAGTGGCTTCAATATATAGGTTGTATATGAGCCAAGTGATTCAATATATAGGTTGTATATGAGTTTAAGTTAGTAGAGTACTTTGTGGTACTTCCTTCTAGTGAGGGAGGGAAGTAAATACTTTTCACTTTTTTCCTGGTGTGGAAGGGGAGTTCATCCCTTGTTGTATTCTTAGATTTTTGCAGAAGGAAATTTTCCAAAGGGTGTGAGAATTTGGCCTGTCTTGCTTGTTGACATGGTTGTAATGTTTTAGATGGATGGGATCCCACCCTGATTGTGCTTAGGCTGGGCAGAATTTTTTTTTTTTTTTTAATAATTTCAACAGGTGATATCAATATTTATTTTTAAGGGTTTTTTTAAGCGTAATGATTTTAAATGTTTGCAGTTGCACAAAATTATGAACTTTAAGCATTTTTTAAAAGTTGTATCAGAATTTTCACATTTGTGGGAAATTATGTAGAGATCAGATGATGCTTTAATGACAGTACATGTTAAGATTCAAAAAGTTAAAGCATTATATAAACTGTTAAAAGTCAAATTGTCAACATCACATGCCAAAATATTTCAAGTAAATATTCTTAAAACAAACTAAGTTCTCCAGCAGCGTTTTTCTTACTTTGCCTAGTTGTAAACTTCAATTATCATAGGAAAATGTTTTTGTTGGTTTGTGATATATGGTGAAAGACATTTTAATGACACCTTCCAATAAAACTCATCTTTTCAAATCGATTATGCAATATTACTTTGCCAGATGAGGAACTGAGTTGAAATCTTTGACTGTCATTGTGGGTTTCTCTTATTGTCTTACAGGACTGCAGCATGAAGGCATATTCAGAGTGTCTGGATCGCAGGTTGAGGTGAATGATATCAAAAACGCATTTGAGAGAGGTAAGGAGGGTGTATTCTGTATCATATCACCACAGGTGTTACCATTCTAAAATACCTTTAGTATTTTGGACACAACTGATTGTGCCCTGGGTAGTGTGGTTTTTTTTACAGTTCTACATTTCATAAATGACTCCAGGCAGAGAATTTTTTTCAGTGCTCACTAACCTTGAACATATAAAGTCACTTGATATGTTATGCTTCATGTCTTGCTACATCGCCGTATAATAATCATTCAGAATTTCGGCACCTGTCATGTTGGATTGTTTAATGACTGCACACATTTCCTTCTTGGATTTAACTGCCTAGTCTGTTTTCCTCCACTTTGTGAATAGACTCTATTCCATGCCTGGGGTGGGATCTCTTGCCCCTGACATTTCTTGTAAAGCAATATGACTACATTTACTCTAATCACCACAAAGTAAGAGAGTCCATTTCAACTCACTGTTCATTTTACTCTTATTTGGAGGGCTTTTGTTGGGTTTTTAGCTTGCATATGTGATTGGCCTTATGCACAAGCAACTCTTTGGGGGCCCTCTGACACAGCAAGTCACATCTGACCCAGTTTCCCTGCCACAGTGGGACCAGAGAAAAAGTTAGCTTTCAGATCAGTCCTAGCAGTTTGTGGCGCCCTTCTTGCTTGGGACTCTGAAAATCACAAGGCTGGTCCTGCTTCCTCATACATTTCATGTTGCAAGTGACACATGAATTGTAAGTTTTCATGTTCACATATCTCCACATCCCAGATATGGGTGCATAGCAAATTGCTATCAGTGAGAGGAGAGAGAGATGTACGTATTTTAGAGATGTGATCTTACTCTGCCTAACCATGAGGTTGTTGAGACTACAATGCATTTGTCTTTTATCTGAGAATGAAATACCTTGGAAAACAAAGGAAATGCATGTGTGGTAGGGTTGAGGGCTTACAACACCAGACTCAGACTACCTTTCTTAAAGTAAAGGACAGATGTCAGACATTTCAGGGAAAACAGCCAGTTATTCCAGTATCACCAAAATAACATTACTTTTTTTAGTTTCATTTTGCTTGTCCCTCTAAAGAGGATGATATACAGAACTGACGAAGTTAACAATAATGTCTGTGCAGTTTATTACTTAATCCAGAACCCTTGGTAGCAGTTAATATCAAAGATAATGCTCTGGTTCATAGTGGACCATTTATTATCCTGTGTGATTATTAAAGTAATAGGCAAGCTTTGGTAATTTCTGTCACATAATGGATATATATAGCTTCGATTTGAGGTTTGCCCCATCATAAAATCTAATTATATTTGATAGGGAGATTTCCGTAGGGAACAGCTCCTTCAGTGTGTGTCTTCTTTTTTGTAATAGGCGAACTACAATATAGATAGTCACAAATTAACTGCACCAGAAACTTTATTTCCCTACCAATCCAGCACAACATGTCTCCTTCTAAAACTTGTAAAGGTAGCGATTGGCACAAGCATTGGCCTGCTGTGTAGGCCCCAAAGCAACCCCACAGTGAATCACAGAGTTGATTAGGACGTGAGCAATTTGTGGCAATGTGCTTCCTACCTCCTATAACCCAGTTAAGCAAATGCTCTGTCTGTTCCCTCCAACCAAAAACACCTGGACTGCAGAGCCTCCCAAAGCAACCACAGCTCCAGGAGTAATTCCACCCCTAATGTGGTCATAGGTGGGGGACTCTTCCTCCATGTGTTGGGGTCAGATGAGAAAGTCAACCCCTTTATCTGCCTGACTGGGGGCATGCAGCCACCTCCAGCCACAGAGGATGGCTGCCAAGGACCTTTCTTGATTGCTGTACTTAGGGGACGGCTTTCCCAATCACCCATTGCCTGCTCGGGGTGTTGGGGGAATAGGGAGTAACCTTTGGATTACATGGATCCTTCTTTCTGGCTGAGACATGTCCTTCTAGCAGAGCAGCCAGATCCTCTGTCTACCAAAGTTCTTACTATTCCTCCCTACCTCCTTTTTTTTATTATTATTGTTTTTGTTGTAACTAGGGGAGGATCCACTGGCTGGAGACCAAAATGACCATGATATGGACTCAATAGCGGGAGTTCTGAAACTCTATTTCCGAGGGCTGGAGCACCCTCTATTTCCGAAGGAAATCTTTCATGATCTGATTGCCTGTGTCAGTAAGTAGATGAAGGAATGGTGTTTTCTATTTAAATAGAAGACCTGCAAAAAAATGCAGATGACCCTTTATCAACCCCCCCCCTCAATCCTCTGCTCCCCATTCCCCCCAAAAAGATCAGTTTATGGTAATAAGAGCAAACTTTTATTGCACCAGAAATGTTGATTTTATTTTCCATCATAGCCCAGATTGCTTTTTTTGAGCTTCCCATCTTCATCCCCTCCCAAAATATTTCTCCTAATCCCTTTTAGGCTCTGTGCTCCAGCCATCATCCAGAGAGGTCTGCTCAACTCTCTTTGTAGCACTCTTTAATCTCATGGCAGAGCCTGTTTAGGAAAGTGAATCTGAGAAGAGAATGAAGTGGATCCTTTGGGATCTGCACCACAGCAGCATGTTTCTGAGATAGTGGCCACAGCATCTTCAGAGCCAAAGCTTCATAAGTAGTTTTTTTAAATAATAATTTGCACAAAATGCTCCTTTAAAGGCCTAAACTCAGAACGTGCTTGCAGCTGCCATCTTGGAAGCCCACTGTTCTAGCAGAGTTTTCCTGACCAGTCTGCTATCCCCAGTCTGCTATCCATGTACATGCAGCACATCTGTTCTGGTGCATGCCATGTATTTCCAGCAGGGAAGCAGCTGTGTGTTTTAACCAGTCTGAATAACCCTTCCATAACCACAAGGAAGATTCCTTATGGACTCTCACTACTGAATGTATAATGTGAGAGTGATCACAGTCCAGGTATAAACAGCTTGGATTATTTCAAAGCTTTTTCTTTTTTGTTGGAAACCAAGTTTAAATGGTCCCATTATTGCCGAATCATTCAGCAGCAAAGAATGAATCTATTGTCCAGGCAGTGGAATAGCCATCAGCGGCAGCCTTTGAAGTGGGGCAAAGATAACTGCTTCCGAAACAACTCATGGTTTTCTTCTCACAGTAAATGACTTTACAAAGCTTAATTCATGTTAGATGAAAAGAAATCTGCTCCCAAATAACTTCATCCTTCCAGGGCTGAGGATTTATGCTGCCCACTTTTTTTCTCCGTCGTCTGCTGCACACAGAGCTTTTAGCTCACCCTTTAGCTATGGTAATCTATTTTCTGAGTCAGACCAAACACTTTTTTGTTCAACACCCACCTTTTGTAGCTGATTGGAATGAGCTGTTGTGTTGGATCTAGTGAAACAGACATCACTCAGTGCACCCACACTGTAAGGGAACCTGCAGATAGATTACACATACCATGTATCTTTGCAATAAAGGGCTTTGCAGAACAGGTTATGCATACATTACATCATCCGATAAGGCATTTCTGGAGAACACATCATACACCTTACAGGAAGCAGATAGCCCCTTTCTTCCCCAAGATTCTGTGCTACTGTATCTTGGCTCCTATCTTTAATATTTTAAACCCTAGTGTAGGGAACCTCCTAGTGTGCCACAGACGTGCAGATTCAGTGACTTCAGGTATGGCCATGGTGATATAATAACTCTGTATGGTGCTCTTTCCTCCTTTCAGCAATGGATAACTTACAAGAAAGAGCACTACACATCCGGAAGGTCCTTCTGAGCTTGCCTAAAACCACTCTGATTGTAATGAGATACCTCTTTGCATTCCTCAGTCAGTGAGTATCCCTGAAAGCACCAGAGCTCTGCAATAGATGTTGGGGTTGGTATAAATGTGTTGAATGAGAGGACTGCAGATTTGACACTCTGCAGTTTCTGATCCAGAGCAGCAGTTCAGGCTACAAGTGCCGTTCTCTTTGCCAGTAGCAGTTTGTTGCCTCTCAGCCTGCTTACTTAACTATTGTATCTATTTTGCTGGGCCTCTCAGCATTGCAAAATAACTAGAAAAAACTTCAGCAACCTCAACAGAGTTCTTGAAATGAAAATTCATAATACTAGAGCTAGCCTGGTAAGCTAATGGAAGTGCAGCATGAAGGATCAGGGTCTGGGTCCCAGGCTAGCAAGAACTGGGAATGCTGCGTACTCCATCCTTGTTGGGGTAGATGGGCTCAAAATGCATAAGATCCTTACTCCCCAGCTGGTGGGTACATGGAGCTCTGCTGGCAGAGGGGACCCAGCCTTATTCTCCTTGCATGCTGTGGGGCTCTTGAGGATGCTAAGAGGAGGAAATGTTGCATCCCTGCATATATTCTGTATGGAAGCTGATAACATCAAATGGGTGTTCCAGTGGTATTGTCCTTCATCATGTTCACATTGGGGCAGGTAAAAAAAAAAGAGAGACTGCATTTGGGAGGGGATGTTTAAATTATCTATGGTATATACACAGTATTTGGGCTTGAATCAAAACACTAGATCTGTACAATACTAAACTTTGGCAGAGACTGAATCTGACCTTCCCATCTGGCACCTTTATAACAGACTGAACCAAAATTCTGGATCAGAACATCCCCAGAAGTTTTTGGATCTGGAGCTAAATTTTGCAGCCTCCCTCTAGACATCGCCAAAGTTCCCTGAAACGTTATACTAAAACCAAGCAATAGAAAACCAGGCACTGTTCCAATGATTATATGTTGGCATTGCTCTGTGGATTCCTGTCTGGTTGACCAATTGCATCAGGGGAGTGACAGTACAAGAAGATTCAACCTTCCATACTTCAGAGCTGAATTTTGAGGTGCAGCTCTGCAGAGCTCAGTCATCTTAATCGCATCATTTTGGCAACCTGGAGGATGGATGTCTCATCCTTTTCCTCATGATGGGTTTAACGTCTTGTACTGCAATTTGAGGTTTCCGCTATAAATAACTTAGAGGGATATGGAACCTCTTGCCCTTTCTCTCATCTGTCTCCCACAGGTCATTAAAACTAGCTAGACAAAGCAGCTCTTTCTGCCCTCACTGCCTCCAATAAAATGGAGGAAAATTTGGCTTCCAGAATGGAAGAAATAGTGTGTGTTTAGTTTGTATAGAGCTTGGGAAATTTATTTCTACAACTGCTTTGAGAAATCTTACTGATTTTAACTAATAAGTGATGCTATGGCCATTGAACAACCAGTCTTACACAACAGTGCAACAGACATTATTCATGAAATAAAGCATAGCCCTAAAACTCAGGGGGTCACACTCTGTTTAGACATGCATATGCAACTCCCACTGACTTCTGAAGCTGAAATAAAAATCGCTGTAGCTTGTTGAATTGTCTTGGCTCCTAATTGGATTAGCCGCACTTCCAAAACTAACTTGAAAGGCAAAGGACTCTAAATAAACCCCAAGGCTGACTTTATAGCAGAACTGAAAGTGCTGTAAATCCAACCTCAGTCTGCAGAAAATACTCCCTAAAGTTGTGAAATCCTCAGTACTACAAACTAAATATGACCAGGCCTGGTCATGCTTGGATGGGAGACATTCTAGAGTAACCCCCAGTATGCAGCAGGAGATGGAACTGCTGTTTCAGTAGATTACACTCTTCCTGCTAAGTATTGAACTGCTGCCCCAGATTGATGGTAAGGACTGTCTCCACTTGTGATAATTACGGAGCCCATTTCACTTGAGATAAGCTTAGTGGAATGTTTGCCCACTTTGCATCCTATCTAAATATCATAGCTAACTATGTATTTTCATTGAGATGGTTTTTCTTTCTGTCCTACATGCTGTGCACTCTTATAAACAGCTTGGGAAATAAGATTTCTCAGAGCAGTTGTGCTGATATGTTGTGCTCATGTGTTCAACCTCAGAGGTGGCTGCATTTCTATGAGGGGGGTGAAGTGATTCCTGCATATGTAAATTTGCAAAGCACTTCAGGCTTCTTCTTGATGTAAGCAGGTTATTAAAATAAGATTAATATTTTGGTTTTACTGCTCATGTGGCAATCGACATTAAATAATTCAGAGACTTGAGTCCTGTTACCTGTGTTTGAGGCGCTAATACATCAGCTGCTCCTGAGAGATGCCCAGTCTCCTATGTAGAACTTGGTAGCAAGTTTAAAAACCCTTATTAAAATGGTTCAGGGCATTTGTTGAATCCGATCCGATATATACATCTCTGCCCAGATATAACGCAACCTGATATAACATGAATTCTGATATAACGCAGTAAAGCAGTGCTCCGGGGGTGGCGGGGCTGCGCACTCCGGCGGATCAAAGCAAGTTCGATATAATGCAGTTTCACCTATAACGCGGTAAGATTTTTTTTTGGCTCCTGAGGACAGCATTATATCGAGGTAGAGGTGTATTGCAGAAATTGTTATTGCACTGTGGAAAACCAAAAAACATTCACAAGATTTTCCTCCTCCCAAGCTCTTGTATAGGAAAGAGATACTCTGCAGTGCAAGAAGAGAAACTTTCCACAATAGTGCTGTGAAATTCTTCGATGCCTTGGGATTCTCATTCCACAGATGTCACTTCTGGAGTCATTGAAGTGGATGTTTCCTTCCAGCCTTAATAGCTTTTAATTATTTTAAGAAGTGAACTGGAAAACAGGGTCTTTCAAGGGGGTTGTTCTAGAATTTAGCTCTCTGTTTGGTGCTTAACCATTAACTGGTGCCTTGACAGGCTTAAATTACAGATTTGGGGTTAAAATTTATTCAGATTAAAGAAGTGTTGCTGTGCAGAGACTCAGTGTTCCGGCTGCACTTGGTAAATCCTACAGATCTGCTCCAGGAAAAGCTGCTAACAAGAAACATCTTGGTCTTTGGGAAAGGGTTTGGTTTGGAAAATACACTACCTAACTCTCGCTACCAAGCACAGAGTTGGGCAGAGGAGCTCAGGTTTTGCTCTGGAACTGGATGCAGGGCCGCAGTGAGATTATAAACAGCAGTCATAAAGCAGGATATGCTTCTGCTTGTGAAGTCAGCTCCCCAAAGCCTTTCAAAGCAACACAGTCCCCAAACCTCTACAATCCCTTGGAGGTTTTTAGCTCCAACTGGCCTTGCTTTTCAACTTCAAAGGGTTTCAATACGTCCCTGTAGCTAATACTAAAAGTCCTAGTGGCTGCTTCCATAGTGAGCGTTGGCTTATTCTTGTGCTATTGGGACCCTTTGTGCTTGGCAAGAACTGTTTCGAGGAGGGTGCAAATGGAAAGAAGCAGAAGGGCTCCTTGGTTGCCAGCTCCCTTGCTGTGTTCGGTGCTGCAGGCTGTGATGTGTGGAGTAGCAGTGACTCAGTCAGGCCTGCCTTGGCCTCTTGACTGGATGTAAGGTGTTACTGCAGCAGCTGCTATCGGAGCAGGGTGCAGAGAGTCGACCGCATGTAAATAAATCCCTGGCAATGAAATTCAATCTGCATGAAGAATAAAGCTATTGAAAAGAGGAACAGTCTGACATTTTCTTTCTTTACCAATGCTGCATGTGCTGATTGAGGAGGATGTTAGGGAAATGGAAAAATGCCTTAGCGATTGAGTAAAGAAATCAGCATGTCAGCAAGCAGCAAAGTTTTCTGTTTTTCGGTACAGATCTCCACTAGGAATCTGTTTTCATGCAAGCCGTGTCAGATCAGGCAGTCATCCTGGGAGGTGCATCTAGAGGAGTTCCTCCTTCCTCAGTAAATTCCAGTCACTCTTATTTTTCCTTTATTGACCCAAAACGTTCCGTTCCCAGCAGAAGGGGCTTAAAGAGCAGAGCACCCAAAGCTAGACCTCTCGATTTAGATGTTGGCTCCCTAGCAGGAGGTGTCGGTATTGTTGGCTCGTATTAATCCTCTTCTCCCGATCTCTTGCAGTTTATCTCAGTTCAGTGAAGAGAACATGATGGATCCCTACAACTTGGCCATCTGCTTCGGGCCCACGCTGATGTCTGTGCCTGAAGGCCACGATCAGGTCTCCTGCCAGGCTCATGTCAATGAGCTGATCAAAACCATCATCATCCAACATGAGAACATCTTCCCAGGACCGAGAGAACTGGAAGGCCCAATCTACAGCAGGGGTGGAAACACTGAGGATTACTGGTACAGTAGGAGCCATTAGGGAGCAGAGGAAGGGGGCCAGCACTTAATGTGCTCATTAACTAATTGTGTGTTGTAGTCATGCACACTGCATTGTGTCAAATTCCAGCCTCCAACACCAGTCCCAGAATTTAAAGGAGTTAAAAACAGGTTGCGGAAGCCAGGGAGCCAGCGACTTACATGAAATAGGCCCTGTAGGAAATAGCCAGTGACCCAAATGTCAAACCTGTGCTTCATTCTATTGAAGGAGAATAAATGACCACAGTTAGTCCTGTAGCTGTGATGACCATAATCTCCTGGAGGAAGCCAAACAGATAGATAGTATGTTAACTGTGTTCGTCCCTCACGTTGTTACTTTTCTCATTTTTCTGCCTGTTCTAGGTGACATTCCTTGAGGTACAGGGTTGATTGCAGCTGAACCTAGAAAGCTGTAAAGGACAGTACTGATCAGGGGTGAAATACAAAATCACCATTTCCATCCAACCAAAACCCCAGGAGGCCTGGCCACGCATTCTGTCAGAAGGCAGCATCTGGAAACAATTGAGCCAGAGCGGCTCCTGTCAACTGGGGTGGAAGGTTGTGGAGGGAGGGGGAAGGGAGGTGTTTGCTTTCCTAGTGGTTGAATTGATCTCGCCCATCTCCCGCTGAAAGGAAGAATGTTTAACTGTCTCACTGCCCTTGCCCCAGGAAGGCAAATGACTTCCTTCTTTTTTTAATATCAACACAAGAAAGTCACTCTTTTGGCAGAGCTTGTTGACTTTTTTTCTTACCGTATTACAGGATAGGCTAACTCATCAACCGTCCGACCACTAGATATGAGATGAGGAGAGACTGTTTTTTTACAAACTGTTAGAAGTTTTTAACAAAGGGTTATTGCAATGGCACTTTGATTGATTTACTCTTCATGGCTTCCATTGATTTTACTGGCTGGCTGAGCTGTATGGGCTGACTTTTAAATCTTTTCAGAGACCTGTATTTTCATGGTGTGAGGTTTCCCCTAGGCGGATGGGAGCTGTCATAAGGAATTAAAAAGTTAAATGTTTAGCTCGTGATTATTATTACACTTAATGTATTGTATATGCTGTTTATTGTGTTAAAGTGTACATGGAACTTGACAGGGACGTGTAGGGGAAAATCCCTACCCCAAATTACTAATACTTAGGCAAATACAGTACATGGTGAAGGGGATCTCTGGGGTTTTGTAACTTGTTACTCTAGTGTCTGGCTCCCAAGTGCTCTTTTCACTTAGAACTTGCTTTGGAAAACATGAGGGTGCCTGGCTTCAGACATGCCATTGGATCCACAGCTGAGAAAGTGACCATGCAAAATCATGTCCTCCTATACTGACCGTCACTATATTTTGGGGGTGGGAAGGCAGTGTCTCATCTACCTTTATAAAAAAAAAAATTAAAATGTTCTTCAGGTTCCCATCACTTATCTCAATTTACTTTGCTTGTCTCTATTTTTCTTCTATCTTCATACTCCCCCCTCCCCCTTACCCCCCGTTTCCTACTTACAGGAGAAGCCAGGGAGGGGTGGAGTTCAGTGTGATTTAAAATGTTTGAAGAAATTAATCAGGGAGAAGCATCTGGTTACCATTCAAGCCTCGTGGTAGCCGTGGTATTAAGTGGCTGTTAGTCATTGCCCACAGGGCTTTCTGCTGCAGAGCTTGCACGTGGCAAAGTGGCTCCCCTCCTGGCTGAGCTGGTTCATCAGACAAAGGGAGATGAGTGCGTTTGCACCTGAACACTGCCTCTTCCCCAGCCTCAACCTCAGCTGCCTTCTCTTGTCCTCACCTAGTAATGTACAAACGATGATGCTCCAGTGCAGAGGCCCCCCGTGGCTAGGAGCCATCCTTGATGTGCGCTGTGCACATTCCTTTCCATGCTCTCGCTGTGCGGCCGTCACTTTCAGTCAGCAGCTGCTGGGGAGGATTGAAATGACTTGTGCTGGGAGCAGAGAGGGCGGGACACAATGTACAGTTTGCAGTTGAGATTTAGGCTCTTGATATGGGCACCTTTAAAAAAACCTATCCCATGTCTGTCTGAGCAGATTGACCCCACATGAGAATATACAGTGGTAATGGGGGGGTGGTCAGAGTCAAGGAATCTTATGTGAACATTAGAATTGATGAGGAGAACAGTTTATAAAGATGCTCAACTTGACTTGCATTCCTCTGGCAATATAGATTGCCAACACTCCCTCAGTATTCGTGTAGAACTCCAGCAGCCTAGCACTCCTCCTTACAGCATCCAAGCGCCCGTGTGATCCTTAGAGAGAAAGGATCTCTTTACAGCAGGGGCAGGGGGTTTTTTTTGGTTGGAAGTGTTCTATGGGGAGGAGGGAAGGAATGTGATCCTGCTTCTCTTTTCACAGTGTTTAGATCATTAGAGCTGTTTGTATGCTACATTACTTCACAATCTGGGTGAAACTTTAGCTTGTAATACTATAGCCCTCCTGGGGCTTTCTGTTGGCTTTAGATTCTTTCATTAAACTTTGCAGTGTGTTTATCCTGCCTAGTAAAGGATGGGAAAGTTAACTAGTGCCTCCTGAGGTATGGTCTTTGAAGAGGGCTAGGAAGCAGAGTGATTGTTATATGTATTAAGTGTAATGAGATACTGGGATTGTTTAGGCTCCTCTTTTTCTTTTTTAAATAGGGGGAGATAGATCTCGCTAACAGATTCTTAAAGGGAGAGTATGAGGCGTCCGTGAACTCTTACTCAAACCTTTTCAGGGCCAAAAAGACTGATCCAGTTATGATCCTCTGAAGAGATGTAAAAACTGCTTTTGAGACGATTTAAGGTCCGCTCAGTCTGGTGCATGGAGGCCGTAAACCTAGAGCAAACAGGTTTTCCCTTTAACAATATATTCCTGTATAGGGGAGGGGAGAGTGCTCCTCATGCGGAATTGTTAGCGGTATACTAACTGAGCAAAGAAAGACGAACAGTCATTGCTAAAAGAACAGGAGTACTTGTGGCACCTTAGAGACTAACAAATCTATTAGAGCATAAGCTTTCGTGGGCTACAGTTCACTCTGTGCATCCGAAGAAGTGGGCTGTAGCCCACGCAAGCTTATGCTCTAATAAATGTGTTAGTCTCTAAGGTGCCACAGGTACTCCTGTTCTTTTTGCGGATACAGATTAACACGGCTGCTACTCTGAAACCAGTCATTGCTAACTGGCAGTTCAGCTCTGCAGGGTGATTTGGGAGAGGGCCTGAATTCTCTCCCCTTTCTCTCTCCTCTCCCCTTTGTTTTCCACTTCTTACATGTGTGATCTTCGACAAGCTCTGTCTCATTTCATATAATAGACAGTGGTGCTTAGGCATCTGTAAATAGACTTATGCCAGTTAATCTGATTTGGGAGTCAGTCATTTGGTGAATTAAGACAAGAACATTTTAAACTGATCAGAAGAAAAAATCTGAAGCATCCTATTAAATTGTGGAATAATCTCCTCTAGGGCAAATGACATTCCGTAACTTGGGTAACTAATAGCTCAGTGGTTTGAGCATTGGCCTGCTAAACCCAGGGTTGTGAGTTCAATCCTTGAGGGGGCCATTTAGGGATCTGGGGCAAAAATCTGTCTGGGGATTGGTCCTGCTTTGAGCAGGGAGTTGGACTAGATGACCTCCTGAGGTCCCTTCCAACTCTGATATTCCATGATTCCATGATTCTAACTAATGAGAGCAATGGATAATATCATGTAGAGAATAATCCTCGACTGGCAGAGGAGATGAACTAGACTTTTATTATGCCTTTTCCATCTGTAACATCTAAAATCTTCTGAGGGCCAAGTGATGAGATCTAAACTCAGGTTTCCCTGATAGACATAAACTGAAAAAGCTACTCCAGGTGCTCATGGAAGTAGAGACAGCTTGATTTTCAACAGTATAGTTTTCAATGCATGTAAATACGTCCACTTCTAAAGAGTGCCCGGCACAATGGAATCCAGGTTTGGTACCACTGTGTAAAGCTCCTAGTATTCATAGACACAGAAATGTAAGTCTGGAAGGGACCTTACAAAGTCATCAAGTCCAGCCCCCTGCACTGAGGCAGGACCAAATACACCTAGGTTATCCTTGAAAAATGGTTTTTAAGAACAGGTTCAACCTGTTCTTAAAAATCTCCAGTGATGGGGATTCTACAACCTCCCTTGAAAGCCTATTTTAGAGCTTAAATACTCTATTAAGTGTGACTGTTTTTGTAGATACATCTCTACTTCGATATAACGCTGTCCTCGGAAGCCAAAAAATCTTACCGTGTTATAGGTGATACCGCGTTACATCGAACTTGCTTTGCTCCACCGGAGTGCACAGCCCCGCCCCCCCGGAGCATTGCTTTACCGCGTTATATCCGAATTCGTGTTCTATCGGGTCGCGTTATATCGGGGTAGAGGTGTAGTAAACTGACTTTCTTCTAGTGTAATGCATTGAATGTGTTTCCTCCCACTGCAGTGAAAGTCCTCATGGAGAAACAGCCTCAGCAGAAGATTCAGTTCAGGATATAGCAGCCGAGCATCATACCAGTGACGATGGTACGTGACGCATTTTAGCTGTCCAGGGGTTTGGGGTTTTTTGTTGGGAACGGGGATGCGGTCTTAAGTTTAAATTTAAAGTGCCGATAATCTGTTGGGGGAATTGAATCAGAAAAGCTGTTGGCAACATCCACCAAAAAATTGGAAGGCACACTGTCATCAGGAATCTTTCAAAACTAGTCTTAAAAAATCCTGTTTTCCAAAGGTGCCTTCTCAGAGTGGCAAGCATAGACAGACTCCTGTCTTCTGTAATGCTCTGCACAGGCTTTTCGGTTCTCCTGTTGTTTAAACGGGTCTTTGAGCTGGGGAGCATGAGCTAAGCAGAAAGCCAAACAGTCAACCTGTCCCTGCCTGCTCTCTCACTCCCCTCTCCATGTGCTCTCTGCCAAGCTTCTTCCCTTTCAGTGGCCTTGGCGGGCAGCCGCATGTTGGTAAGTTCCAATTGCTTTATTTAAAACAAACAAGCAAAAACCCCTCCTACCTTCTCCCTGCGAGTCAGTCTCAGGGACAGGGAATCCCTGCTGATTCTTGGTTTCTGTTGGGGATCTCCTCCACTGCCCTTCTCTTGGCCTCAGTAACTATGAGGGGATTTGAGCCTCGTCCCACTAAGTAGCCTCTGCGTGACCTTTCCAGCCATCTCCTGATGCTCCCCAGCCTTGTGCAGAGTCCAGGGATGAAGAGACAGTACAACCCCAAACTCATTGATTCCAATCTCTCACCGCTATTGGCTAAAATGCCCTCTTTTAGGGGTTAGGGAAAACCATGCACATGAGCTCCTTGCAGAGCAGTGCAGGGGGCAGGTATGTTGTCAGTACCAGTGCATAACAAAGTGTAACTGCCAGTCCAAAGCAGCAAAACTGACTCAGAGTGGTGATCAATGCCCAAAGCAAACTGACCAAATAGAAACAGAAATGCATTGTGTTATAATGTCTGCCGGTTGTAATTGTCCTAGAGAAGTGCCTGTGACTACAGGAGCTGCACCATCTTCAGATGAAAATGTGACTTTTTTCAATTTGATTGCATGTCTTCTTGAATTGTTCTTTAGCAACCTACTCAGTAGCATTGGCTTGTTCTCCTATGCTCCCCCTGCTGTCTCTGCACCCGTGGTTAACCGGTTAACCTATCCTATAGCTTGGACACATTCATGTTGACTTAATGTTGCTGGCGCACTAACAAGGAAGTAAAGACTGATGAGCCGTGTTGTCTGCCATCTCGGTTAGAAATGTGGGAATCAAGGAGGAAAACTAGTTCTTCAACAGGAAAAACACAGTCAGAAGAGACTTTTAATCAAGGTTGTCAGGGGTATTAGAGAATATGGGTGTAAAATGATGTGCCTCTCATGTGCCCTTTAAACATCTTGTTCCTCTGAAAGTCACAGTCCCTTTGGAAAGCTTGGGAAAGCCTTTCCCTCTGTTATTTACTTACATTCCCAATAAGGAATGACATCACTCAAAGGCAGACTCTGATGCCTGTTTAATCAGGACTATAATTTTGTTTGCGGACACACTGATAGGTGGATGTTCTTGGCTGGTTTTTGAATGCTATTGTTGAACTGTTTGTGTAGCAAAAGAGCAAGGTGATTAGAGATGCGTTGTGGGCTAGAGCTGGGCTCCATCCCAAAGCCACTGGGGCTTGGCCTTGAGGAGCGTCATGCAAGGTGAGATCAGTGTTGGCTTGGAACAGCTTCCCACAACCTGTATGGAGGGAGAGTTTGGCACCTGGAATGGGGAAGGGAGGAGAACTGTGCCTTTGTCACTGCTGAGGGGTCAGGAGGTTTTTGTTAGCTGGGAGGGAAATGAAGGTGCTTTTTGGTAGCAGCAGGGAGGTGAGTTAGATCCCCAAGATAGACTCTTGAGAGGTGTCTTGGCAGGCCAGCAGGTGGAGGGTGGCCAGAGATGCACCAGGTGAGGGGTGCTGGCAGAGCAGGATCTCTTTTTTAGCCACCCACATGGGCCTACTCTGCTTTGCACAAAATGGTGCCTTCAGGGCTAACTCCTGAGAGGAGCCAAGCGGAAGTTAGAGGGACTCAGACCTTCTCTGAATTTGCCTCTCAGTCTCCGAGAGAAGAGATTGAAGAGCCACTTGATTTGGATGAAGGAGCTCAGCTCCTCTCTCAGCTCTGGGAGTGGTGCTGAGGAAGCAATCCAGACCAAGTGAGGCTGTCATCCGAGGCATGCTCAGTAGCATAGGCTGGGTTTGCAAACTAAGTCCTTTCCCGCTTCGGTTGGTGGTTGAGTCAGTTTCTGGATGTGAGGAGAGAAGTTTATCCCTCACTCATTCAACTAGCCACTCTAACGCACAACCACCTAGCTGGCTTCCGCGTGCTACTCGTACCCATGGGGGCCTGGTCTGTTTAGCAGCTGCCTAGTGACAAACATGCGAGCCTGGAAAATACTTCACCACTGATCTCTAGGGTTAGGAGCAGGATCCTGGGGCAGGGAGTTGGAGGGAATCAGCGTCTAAGAACAAGGCTGTGGTTTCTGGAGCTGCCATTCTGTTAACATTCATTGCGACGTAAGAGTGATCAGACACTTGGTGGCTGGGACTGGCACAGGCAGGCCATTGATACGGTGAGGGTGCAAGTGCATTTCCATGTTCACTAAGTCATGAATTGGTGGAGAGACGGTAAACTGCTGCTCTCCAGCACTGATTTTGAGACTAGGGGTACGTCTACACTTACCGGAGGGTCCGGCGGCAGGCAATCGATGTTCTGGGATCGATTTATCGCGTCTGGTTTAGACGCGATAAATCAATCCCGGAAGTGCCCGCCGTCGACGCTGGTACTCCAGCTCGGCGAGAGGAGTACGCGGCATCGACGGGGGAGCCTTCCTGCCGCGTCTGGACCCGCGGTAAGTTCGGACTAAGGTACTTCGAATTCAGCTACGTTATTAACGTAGCTGAATTTGCGTACCTTAGTCTGAAGTGGGGGGGTAGTGTGGACCAGGCCAAAGAGTGGTAGCTGTGTTTGGCTTAGTCTTTTGGTCTTTATTCCCAGCTCTTTCCTTGGAGCCTGAGCCCAATAGGGTAGCAGTACTGGAAATTTGAGTCTAAAATCACTTGTCTGGCTAAAATCCAGAGTCCTAAAAGGCAAATCGGAAATGTAAGAAACCCGAGTGCACTGCACATTTGGAATAATAAACAATTGTTAATGAAACAAAGATGAAATTTACCCCCTCACCCCCAAAAAAATCTAGTTCCTTCACTTGTAATTAAATGTAAAAAAAATGAACATTAACTTTTTAAATGGTATGAATGAACTGGTTCCAAGAACCAAATAAGCAAAAGGAAAGGAGGGGGCCAGAAGCAGATAACCACATGCTCAAGGGAATCTGGACTGGAAAAAAAAAAAAAGATTTCCAAGCTGAAAACAAGTGAGCTATTTTTCACCGATGCAAACACCTTGCAGGCTGGTGGGGGCGGATGACTGGAATCCTTTGTGGCTGTCCGTAGACACATCTGAAATGTATAAGTTAGTAGAAGTGCTGCTGTCTGGTTTTGTATTAGGAAAATCCATTATTGAAGGCTAAATCCAGCAAATGTCGTGCCTGCTTGGTCTTAGCCCTCTCGGTCTGTCCATGCTTTGCAGCCACAGACACTAATCTCAATTCTAGGGTGGGTAATAATTTTGTTCTGCTGTTTGATCAGACAATGGTACTACAGCCCCTGTTCACCCTGCAGGATTTATGCTGCTCTGAGAATCATGTCCAGGCCACTGCTGATCCTGCTCAGGGAAGCCCTAGATGGTCTAATTCCTGTGCACATGCTTTCCCCGAGGAATAACTTAAAGGGCTTACTTCTTGATGTTTGTTTTTGGTCATCTCTGGCTGGCCACTGCACTGCCAAAGGCAGCCATGAAGAAGCCTCCCCTAATCCTAATGGCAGGCTAAAGACAAAATAACGGCATGTCTTTCCTTGGCTTGCACCAGGAGCAGGGTCTGTTGCTCTGGAAGGATCAGGAAAAGAGCTCTGTGATCCCTGAAGTGTGCTGCTTTAAAAAGAAGCCAAAACTGCCATCAAGAGGCAGCTGGCCCCCAGCTCCTTGAAAGATGCTTGTAAGTTGTAGATAATTAGGAAGTAGGCAGCCAAGCTCACTCCATTACCCGATTCCAGCCTAGAGCTGTAATTTGTATCCTGGCTGCAAAAGAGAATTTGCCAAGGACAGAACTGTAAATCTTAAAATGATCCAGGCATTTTGAGTTGGATCCATCTGACTGTCTAGACACCTATCCTGTCCTCCCCTCCATAGTACGAGTGCCACAGGTTGGTATCTGGTCACTGTGTGTTATGAGACTGTCTATTTTAGATTGTAAGCTCCCCAAGCAGGAGCTGTCTTGTTCCAAGTATTGTACAGCTCCGAGGGCCCTTGGATTGTGCTTGATAAACAATGTGCGCGATGAATCCAGTGGTGTGTGGCGCTCTGGAGTGGAGTGCCTTTTCGTGAGCTCATCATAACATGCAGCCATGCAGGCGTTGAATATTTTTATTAGCTTCCATGACAGGCCAGCTATTGCTCTGAACAGATCAGCCTCCCACAGTGCCAGGATCTGTAGTCTTCTGGTCCCTGCAAGCCCCATAAGGCAGCAGAAATATTCTTCTGAGTAGAGTCCTTACTTCTGAAGCAGCTTGAATCCAGAAGTCTTTCCTTCCCTAAATGCTAATGAAAACTCCTGCTTGCCAGCACAGAAGGTTTATTGAGCTGCCTTTGAGGAAATTAACTCTAGATTGCTTTTGTCCCTGAGAGCTTCTTGGTTTTGGTGATCTTAGAGTTCAGTTGTGGGTTTTTCTTGTCATGTTTTTCTTTGCTGCAGTGAGAGATTTCAGGGTAGAAAATGTTGACGTGAAAAGCTCAATCCAAGAACCCCTGACTGGTTGGCACTGTCCACTCTGGCGGTTGTATGTAGTGTACATGTAGCTACATACCACAGTGAAAGGCTCTGGCAGGAGGCAGCCGGGAAAGGCCCCATCTGCTCTCTGCTGCAGGAGCCTTTCACTGCCACGAGGAAAGGCTCTGGCACGGGGAGACAGCCCGGAAAGGCTCTGGGAGCGGGGAGGGAGCAGGGACAGTACACTGATTAAGCATAGCAGTGTAGATGGGGAAGGCACTGCTTGTGCATGCAGAGAGCCATGTAGGATACGTACGCTGAGATTCTGCTGTGTCTGCTCTACTAGCTTAAGCAGTGCCTCCCCATCTACAGTGCTATTTATATCCATGCTGGGGAGGCGGGTGGGGTCTGTCGTCTACACACCACAATAGATGTAGCCTTAAAAAGATGGATGCCAAAATCTGAATGCTTGTGCCCCCCCTTCTCCGTTGTTGTGAGGTGATGCTTTATCCCAGATGACATGGTCATGTCCCATAATTGTTGCTCTGTAGCTGATATCCATCGCTGAAAGATTTAAGGTAGGGATTTAAACTCGTGAATCCTTGTCCAACACTGAGTGTTCATTAAATAGTCTTTTCCTTTCTCTCTCCTAGAGTGTGAGCCGATAGAAGCAATAGCAAAGTTTGACTACATTGGCCGAACTGCACGAGAGCTGTCCTTTAAAAAAGGGGCTTCTCTCCTCCTGTATCAGCGGGCCTCAGATGATTGGTGGGAGGGACGGCACAATGGCGTCGACGGTCTTATCCCTCATCAGTACATTGTTGTTCAAGACACGTATGTAGCCTTTTATTTTATTTATCATGAATTCTGTAATGTGGTATTACACCGTCGTGGGTTCAGCTCTGGTGGCTAGTTTCAAGCTTAACAGAGTGAAAGTCATCTCTGCTACTTGTTTTAGAGTTAGTCTCTAGGAACACATAAAGACCAAGGGTAGTGACCACACAGACATTCACAAGTACAAGGTTTAGTCTATTTTACAAGTGGTGTTAAAGTTACAATTAAAGGTATGATTACTCAAGCATATAGAAATTCTATATAGACCTATGCACAAGTTACAAATATAGTTATACTCACATCTTTAACAACAGTGTTAGGGTCTGATGGGTCTCTCATGGCTTGATCATCAGTAGAGGGATGGTTCCTCCTAGAGACTCCCATAGGGAGCTCAATTTTCCCGTTCTGGGCATCCCCTTTTTATAATGTGATTTTGTCAATACCTACATTCTGCGCATGTCCATAAGTGTCAACCCTCTTTTTCTCTCATTGGTCTGTGTCCCATGGATACTTAAGGGACCCCAATTTTCTATAGGCTGTGTAAGTTCCCTTTATTCTCATTAGCATTGACGCACAACCTGTATCCTGTGGTTAAGACGCATGTTGGAGACAGATATGCCTTTACAGTATTTTTATCATCTAATATTCATCTTCTGGGTAATTTTGCACAATATTACCACTTGGTACCTCTTTTCGCATAATCTTAGTGCATTGTGTTATTTTCTGGTCACTTATGTCATCATTACTTGTCTCCAAGGCCTAAAATAGCTAAGCTAAAGTCTTGCAGGCCTCAGCCTACAGGTTCTTGCGTTTCAGCTTGTCTTACTTATGTCTAATACTTGGTATACTTGGTTCCTCTAAAAACTGATCAATCTTATACTTTTATAATCCTACAAATTAACTCTAACATACAATGAATATATGTAATATAACACGTTGATTAATCATAACATCACACAATAAATGGATAATAATAAACTAAAATCATTGGCTAATGTACGTTACCGCTACAGTGATCCAGGGGTGGGTTGCTGAATGCCTGGAAGATTTGGGTACAGTTAAATCTTATTTGAGCAAGAAAATTTTTTCAAACTCCGTGATCTACATTGTGATGCCCAGGCCTGCACTGTATTGGGATTACGTAGTCCTGATCTCACAAGCTTTTCCCTGCAGGAGCAATGCCATTGAAGTCACTGGGGCTTAATGTATGTGCTGGGTTCCACCTGCGCTGAGCTAGTAGGTTCAGCATCTTGGTCCTCTAAAAGTAATATTTGCCCACCTGAGGAATCCCAGTGCACAGCTGGGCTCTCAAAGATAGGCACAAAAATTGACTTCATAATTTGGAACAAAACTTGTCCCTCACAATGTAGTGATGACAAAAAGGGGGCAGAGGGGGCACAATAGAATCTTCTGAAAACTTAAGATTGTGTTTTTGTTTGTGCTTTCCTTCCCCTCCTCCTCCTCCTCCTCCTTAGTGAGGATGGTTCCTCTGAAAGATCCAGCCCCAAGTCCGAAATAGAAATCAATTCTGAGCCACCAGAAGAAAAAGTGACAGCCAGAGCCGGTGCCAATTGTCCAAGTGGGGGTCACGTCGCTGATATTTATCTTGCAAACATCAACAAGTAAGAGCAATCTTGCGTTTTTCTACTTGGTACAGAAATCTTGGTGCTGAGCGTTGTGGGACATTTCTCTCTTGTGAGAGGCGTAGGAATAAGTGGTACCACTTCCTCTCTGTTTCCTCCTCCCTATACCTATCCGTACCCCACCACTCACTCTCTAGCTCCTTCTTTCTCCAGCCTGGCCCACTGTCACCTATTTCCCCCACTTCAGTTCCACATCATCCCCTGCCCTAAAGATGAAAATCTGAAATCCAATAGTACATACACTAACATTTAAACAACTATTGTGTATGAAGCAGAGCCACAAAGATGATATTCTTGCATTGCTGTTAATTATTTGTTTCTCTAGAGCATGAAGGTAGTAGAAAATAATACACTGAGAAAATCGGTAGGCATGCGGAGGGTAGACAGAGAGCCCATGGCGGAAATTAGGGAAAAGATTAATTTGGGACTCTTAATGATAGACAGGCTGGAGAGCGCACATGAGATGATGATAGGAGAAGAATGACCAGCAAAGGAAGCATGGGTGGGGAAGGACATGGAAGACTGAGGATACAATGGAAAGATTCTGTCAAGAGAAGTTTGAAGAGAGAAAAGGATTAGAGCTTCAAGACCTACGAACCCATGCCTTCGAATAGAAGGAGTGGTGAAGAATTAGGGGCACTTCCAATACTGTGTAAACAGGAAAAGGAGTCAAGAAGGGAAATGTTAAACCATAAAGGCTCCAGACAGGATCTGTTCTCCATGGTATGAGGCACTGTACTATCACATAGGAAGATGGTCCCATACTACCCAGAAGATCATAGTCGTCATCACATGACTTTTTTTGTAACCCCTTTTCTCCTATTCCAACCCCATTGTTTGTTCTTACCCTTTGGTGCCGCCTCTTTACATTTTTATTTTTTTTTTTTTTGGACCGGGGTTTTTTTTTTTTTTTTTTTTTTTTTATAAATGTATCTTGTAAGACATTTAGCACAGTTTTGGGTGCTATGAAGCACTAATGAAAGATAGATCCTCTTTTCAACTGCCTCAATGCCATCCATAATGATCTCTCCTTTCTCACGCTTTTTACCCAAAGGAAGTTACAATGTATGTACAGTGCTACTGAAATAACTGTCCTCACTTCCAATTTTGTCTGTTCAATGAAAAATTGTTAGAGTAGCCTAAGGCCGAGTTGACGAAAATCTGAAAAATGAAACTGGAATGAGATGAAATGTGTCTCAGTTTTTATATTTATTTTTAAGGCAGGGTTCTCCCCCCAGATCTTTCAGATTCTCCTGTTATTATAAAACAGCATGCTGTGTTACCGAAATGTCTTTCTCTGCAATAAATCTGTGCCTTAAAGCTACTAGTATTGATAATTGTAACATTCTAGAACTGAATGAAAATATCAACCTTTAATTAGCCTAACAGGGACTCTAGGGCAAAGATAGAAAATAATAATTTTAAGTTGCCCACTGTTTGTATTAAATAATGGGCCAGATCCTCAACTAATGTGAGTTAATCCAGCTCTGTTGATATCATTGACACTATATCACTGTGCACCACCTTAGGGTCTGGCATTTTTATATGTTCTATGAGCCATTAAAGCACAGAACTCTACCAGTTATGGAAGGATTTGTATAATGATCAGATCCGTTCTGGAGGCTCACCATCTGTTATGGACACTGCACCAAAGGGGAGAGCTCCTAGGGCTTGGTTAGGCTTAGTTCATGTTTTCCTTTTACCAGGGAAGGTGTGATAATTAGGAGCATAATACTCATGTTGTGTTTTCTTTAGAAATGAATATTCTGATCTGTGCAGAGCTGGACAAAATAGATCAGATGGTTTCACTGTAGCAGTTGTGCCGCCCACTGAATTATTTTTCTGATGCCAAAATCCAGCTGGAACGAGAACTTTCTAGCAGTTATTCACAGGGCCTGTGCTATATATAAATTAATCCTCTTTAAAGGATTCAGTGGGTTCCTCTATTGCTTGACACATTCCTGCTACGATGATCATACGTCATTTGCTTGGAGTCATGCTTTCAGACTGCATGCTACTGGATGGAGATAGGTTAACTGGTAAAAACAACTATTTCACAGCACCCTATACACTTATAGCACACTATAATTAAGCCACCATGGTCTTGTTCAGTATAGAGAAGATACATTTACTGTAAACAGGAAATGACTATTAGCTTAGCCACACTGCAGGTCACCAGCCATACCTGTAGAGCTGTAAATATCTTCTTGCCTCTGGCCCCAGAGTTTGATTAGACTTTCTCCCCGGCCCCTCAGCCAAAAATAGAAGCTCTGCTGGTCTAATATCATGAAAGCAGGCAGCCAAACGAGCTGACAACACAGAATTATTTTAGTTAAAAGTGCAAAATCTTTGTTTCATAACCATGTGTGACCAGGAGCCATGCTGGGGTCACTTCAGTTAGGGTGAACTGCAAAGGATGGGGCAGACCATCCCCCAAGCTGATGGATATTCTAATACTTAGATTTACCAGACCAGCACAAAACAGCTTCTATAATACCTCACTGGTTACCCAGAAGCCAGAACACAGTCCCCTTAAAGTAACCCAGTCTTAGCCCTCCACCCAGACACCCAAGGCAAATATGGTGAGGATTACTGAAAATCTTATTCATCATATACAAAAGTTCTACCAATCCCAAAGGATCAGACGCGTTACCTCCCAGGTTAATGAATATTCCAGATCTTACCCAAATATACACTTACAGCCAATCCTTATTAACTAAACTAAAATTTATTTTAAAAGGAGAGAGAGAGTGTATTGGTTAAAAAGTCAGTATACATACAGACATGAGTACAGTTTCTGAGATGAGATTCATAGTAGGGATGGTAAGTTTTGTAATTGCAAAGAGTTCTTTCAGATATAGTCCATAGGTTATAGTTCAATGATCATATTCAGGATGATCCAGACAGGTCTGGAGATCTCAGTCTTAGGATTTAAACTTCCCCTGCATGAAGCATCAAGCAGATCTGAGATAAAAAGGATCAGGACTCAAGGGGTTTTTATACAGTTCCAGGCCTTCTCTTGACAGGTCGGAGTCCTTAGGTGAACAATAGGCAATCATGGAGACTTTGAAGTAGACCTGTTTCCTGATCATCATGGGTAATTAGCTACACGGATTAACATAAGGCAGTTGCCTGTTTTTCCACCATTCGCAGGTGATTTGCTGTACATTTTAAAGAGAGATGAATCACTATGTTTACAGTTCATTTAAATATTAAGAGATCCTTTCGGACTCTGAATTAACAGAATACAGCATAGATTGGGACTGTTTGATTACATTGTTAACATCTAACAATATATATGTAAACACACACAAACATTATCTACCAAAATGTCCGTAAGGGTTGAATTTGGGTCATTTATCTGCAGGATGCTTAACCCTTTCTGACCATGGGTCACACCATGTTAAATATATTCTCCATTCAGTCTTTTGTTTTAATGACAAGTGTTGTGATAGTGATTTGTGAGAGTGATAGTGACAACCAGGCCACCTTTAGATCTCTTTCTGTTGTCCTCTGTGTTGTCTCAGGACATCTATATTCAGGTATGGCCCATCCCCGACACCTGCTTGTACTGACTTGTTTTGCTTCTGTGTTGGAAGGCAAAGAAAGAGACCAGAGTCAGGCAGCATCAGAAGAGCGTTCCGTCAAAGCGACAGCCACGGACTGGCTAGTTCACTGGTAGAACCAGCCTCCCCAGGAGCCACAGCTAGCTCTAGACCCTCATCTCAGCCCATTATGAGCCAGAGTCTCCTCAAGGAGGTACCAGATAAATGCTCCATCAGCGGCCACGGCAGCCTCAATTCTATCAGCCGGCACTCATCTCTGAAGAACAGGATAGACAGCCCACAGATCCGTAAAACTGTGACTGCAGGCAGGTCAAAGAGTTTCAATAACCATCGGCCCATGGATCCTGAGGTCATTGCGCAGGTAAAGGGGATTGCTTGGCATAAAGGGTTCAGTGAAGTGTCCCTTTTGTATTTGTAAGGAAAGTGTGTCATGATTTTAAACCTTACCCAACTCATCCTGAGTAAACCGCTCCTTAGTGTGGTGCCTCTATCCTTCAGGCTTGGGAAGAGGATTGTGTGTTCCAATCCTTGGCACTTGTAAGCACTTCGCGGGTTCATAGACAGATGCTGAATTCCCTGTGCTTGTCACTCACTCCTCTGCATAAGCAATGTGTGTATCCACCCACCTAGTTATTTCCCTAAATTTCTCATAGCGGTTACTGCACAACAGATGCACTGGGCTTGCGTGGGCAATACAAAGAAGTGGGGAGGTCGCAGATATGCACAATTCAGAGTTTGGCTTTCTGGGTTTTTGACCCATCATCTGTTTGTGTTGTAGCTTTTCTTACTGTCTCTGCAGTATGCAGACATGGGTTGTAGGCTATTTATTGGTATATTTATTTATAATTGGTGGGGCAAGGAAGCAAGGATTTGTGATCATACTTGTCTCTTTGGCTGCTTGTTACAATCAAATGTTTCGAATTCAAATTGTGGCTTAGTTTTACAACTTGCATCCTTTGTGTTGGATTAATAAAATATTAACCCTCTACGTGGCTAGAATCTAATCCTGTAAACGTACATCGGGTAAGTCAGTGAGACTGCTCACGTGAGTAAAGATAAATGGATGAATCCTTTACTAAGTAGAAACTTCTGCACATTTATTATTTATATTCTACAGTTTCAAAGGTTCGGGTGTGTCCATCACCAAAAATTATACTCTGATTCCAAAGCTGTCAGCAAAATATTAAATAATCCAAATTCCAGGGCATGAAAAAAGCAGGGTATTAAGTGTCAATTTTAAACCCTTTCACCAGTTGAGCAAGTTTGTTTGACTGTAGTTAGATGTTGGAGGTATATGCAGTAGTATAATCAAAATAAAAGCAGACTTGCCCCATTCTTCTATTTTCATAGTGCTGTATTTTGTACTTGTAGGTCTCAATGTGTGGTGAAAAGCCACCTTCAAAGAAAATAGTCTTGACGTTTTGATTTCTTTAGACAGGTGTTTAAGGAATGTGGTCGGGTGTCTAACCAGTATGTACACAGCTGTTCCTTAACCCTGCAGAGATGGTGTTCTACATTTTAGACCAAGTCAGCATACAAGGAAAAGGGGCTTTGTTATTAGTTCATCTTTAAAACCCTTACTATTTTGAATCTTCCTCTCTCTTAGCTTTTGACATGAGCACTTCTCATAAAATCCTCATCTCTATGCACAAAATCTCTCCATCTCTTGCTTCTTTGGGACCATGGACCATTACAGTAATGACCTATGTCAATAGAAAAAACAATCAGAAATTCACAATGAAGTCTCAGCTTGCACTGTCCAGAACTGACCAGTGCCAGAACATGTCACAAAACAGATCTAAAACACCCAGATGCTTGAAGTAAAGCCTAGATTGAGGGTGAGAGCTACCAATGCAGATATAAATGGGTAGGTATTACAGGCTCTAGCTGACTTCCTCCTAATCACTGGAGGATCTGCCCTTGCCCCCCATTCCAAACTGTCGATATATCTACACATGCATGCTTGCCCTTGCCAGCTGTTTTCAATGTGTGGTGGATCTATCTAAAGCTAAGGAACACTTGGCTCTCAGATTACAAAGTCAGCTCTGAGATATGCAAGAAGGCCAGTTTCTACAGTCTTCTGGAACCAAAAGTGACATGATTTCAAAAGAACCCCAAAAGGAGTGGGTAGGTGACAATGAATAAAACACCTTTTTACAGGCAAATCAGTGGTGGTAGATATTTTATACTTGATATTGGGTTATTGTAATGTAAACATGGGCCTTTTGCCCAGAATCCAAGTGAATATCTGTTACATCCTCTGTTGTTGTTGGGTTTGTTTGTTTTTTTGTTGAGGGGGAAGGAGGGGCTATATTTTGCTCTTGTAGTATCTTTAGCCTGCTCTGTTCTGTGAGAAGGTAATGTACAGGTCTCATTGTCTTGACATTTTTTTCTTGAGGTTTGGTTGACACAAATCAATCTTTGTCTTTCAATTAAACTCTCACTTAGTTTTTCTCTTCAGTCTCTTCTTGCCCGAATATAAAGTCCAGTCATTTATAATTCACTAGTGGAAACAAAAGTTTTAAAAAATTAGCTGCATTAAGTGAGTGCTCCCTTTTGTGCCATGTCATATGTCAGTTCAGACACTAATAATCATCTTACATTTTTACATATCTTTCATAGTTGTGTGTTTCTTAAAACCTGTTTGGTCTTGCTATATGGTTGGAGGTGTCAAGCCACCGTCTCTGGTTCCCTCTACCACTCCTTGACTGATCTACCTCCCCCTGCACCTAACAAAGCTTCCAAGGAAGCTAAAAAGTTGTAGCTAAACTGAGTCATGGAAAAGCTAAACCATTCCACTCTCATATGAATTCTGTTCATGGACAGTAGACTCAACCCATAGCTTAGGTCTTAGCAAACGTGTAGGTCTCAATATAGCTGAGACTAAAACCCACTGACTTAACATTTATTATTGGTCTCATGAAGTTCTCTATGCCTCCTGATTAATACCTAGAGTATTCTGTAAGCTGGAAGGGAAATGCTGACAACTTGTTTTTTACATGTGTCCAATATCTTTTATGGATTTTAAAAGCTCAATATGATTTACAGGTCCAGTGTGATGTCTTCATGGGGGATACCAGCCCTTGCATATGTGCAGATCCAATGAGATGGATAGGTAACCCATGCAAACTCCAGCATCCTAGGATGCTATCACCCTTAAAGGATGTAGGAAGCAGTGAACAGCATGATTTCATCCTTTTCAAGGAGTTACTCTCCACAGTACCATTTGGAGGATTATCCTTCTGTTTATCAAAAAAAGAAAGACAAGAATAGATCCATATCAATTGAAACTGCAGGTTTTTTTCTCTGTAGTTCAGCCCAGGAGGGATTTTATTTGTGTCTTTGATGTCCTGGTGAAAACATAAGAGAATTCAGGAATAACAAAGCATAAAACTAGCCTTTAAAAAAAAGTCTTGATTAGTTTGTTCCCTACTGCTGGTTAATGTTATATCACTACGTGATTTCTATATGTGCAGCTAAATACAGTCAATAGCCCTAGCATGTACAGTCTAACACTGGTTTTGCTTTATGGTAATTAAGGTCCTATTAACCCTTAGCAGACGATGATTTGCTGACCCCTGGAACTGAAGAAAAATGAACTCTCTCTGCAGTTGACTCTTACAGAACTGTGTGCTTGTTTACGTGTATCTGGCCCCTGTGATCATTTGTCTTTTTTTTAAATCTTTGCAGGACATTGAAGCTACCATGAACACTGCTCTGAATGAACTGCGGGAGTTGGAAAGGCAAAGCAGCGTAAAGCACACACCAGATGTTGTCCTCGACACCCTGGAGCCTTTGAAAACCTCCCCTGTTGTGGCACCCACCTCAGAACCTTCCAGCCCTCTGCATACCCAGATTCTTAAGGACTCCGAACCAGCATTCCAGCGGAGCGCCAGCACTGCTGGTGACATCCCATGCGCCTTCAGGCCAGTGAAGTCAGTCAAAATGGCTGCCCAGGTTAAACCTCCAGCAACAAGGCCGAAGCCTGCAGTTTTCCCCAAAACAAATGCCACAAGCCCTGGTGTTGCTTCTTCCGCATCTCAACAGCCTACTGACAAGTCCTGTACTGTCTGAACTAGAAGCCCCACTGTGGATATAATTTTGTTGTTTCAAATGAGGGGACTATATTAAAGACACGTGAAAATTCCTATTTAACTAGTTTCGGACTTCTGCTGAAGGTTAGTTTGTAAGTCGTTACTGCCAGGAGCACTCCCTGGGAGTGAAGACATGGGTAGTTAAGCCTCGCCACATGCACACCACATCAGCATACCTTGCTTATGAAATACAGACAGAAAATCGAACATCAGGTCACTGTGAAAGTGGTGAGGCCAACACAAAGGACTGATGAATTGGTTCTCAGTTTATAGTTGATGCCTTGTTCGTGTTTGGCCACTGAGAGAAGTACTCAGTGGTGCCATGTTTTGGATACTGGTGTAATGACTTATATATATTCATTTGCCACAGGGAAACAATCCAATAGATTTTAGTCTACTGCATGTTTTGGTACCACTAGTTATGTGGAGCTTGGACATGCCTGATTCTTGTGCATTATTACATTTCCTGCTGGTGCCACTGCTGTTAAGGGTCTGTCTCGATTTCCATTACATCCTCTCTCTTTCAGCAGTCTTAGCTCTTAGCCATGTCAAGCTCCCCTTGATTGAAACTTGTCATGACAAATACTCAGCTCTGGAACATGAGTTCCGTGTTGTGTGTTGGTGCAGATTTAAATAAAGCAAATCTATTTCTGAGTTTTAGGAGGGAAAAAAATAGAATTGCTGAGCATGGCCACCGTGCAATTGTTTTGGTGCTCCCAGATTTAAAAGCAGCTTTGTTCTTTTAAAATGAAACTTTCAGGGCATTAGACAATAATGCAGTGTGTGCTGTTCAGTGGGAACTTGGAAGGTGGAATGTAAAAACGAGTTACCTTCTGAAAACCAGCTGCTGTGCTCTCTCAGGAGTGGCATTTCCTAACGTGATCATAAGTTGAGATGGGCTCAAACCGAAACCCCACTTCTGAACATCCCTAAAGCTTGATTCTGAAACTCTTTGCAGCTTGGCCCTGTTTTTGATTCGTAAAGACTTTGTTCTATGGCTCTCAGCACTATGAACTATTGTGGAGGACCCCAGCGTAAGGAGAGTGGTGGCAGCATGCTCTATGGGTGATTGGCACTACAGTGTCCAGCTCCTAAATTGCTTAAATACATATTTCTATGATAAATCATCATGCCTCCAAGGGATTCTGCTGACAAATTAGTGACTTCTTAGTATATATGTGTGTGACAGACTGACTGCTTCAGCTACTAGCAGGCTGTATGGACTTTTCTGTGCTTTCATGGCAATATATTTTCCAGAATGCTGCCATATATTTAATGAAGGGGGAAAAAAAGGCACATGCTATGTTAAGATAATGAGTCTCACAGCCCCACTAGACAAGGGATCTTGCAACTGACTTTCCATCCTTACCTTGCCCATCATGCCCAAATATTGCTGGAGTCTGAATAGTCCTACCATTTATGTTCTCGTTGTAGTTACTCAAGAAAGAACAACATAAGGAAGGTGACTCTCCCAACTCTAGTCGTGTCCTTTGATATTTGTGGGCCTGAATCACACCTTAACTTCGTGGTTTAATGCAGGTTGTGATGTTTAACTAGCATTGTAATAAAAACAAGGTATGTTGCATCTCTAAGAACAAGTTGGCCTTAAACATCCACTTCTAATTCCTTTTAAAGGAGGTTACTTGGATAGACAGTTTTTCAATCTCTTTGAAAGAGAAGATTTTTTTGTATTAATGCTTGTGTAAAAAGGACTGATTTTCTCTGTGTCCTAAATTATGGAGACATGAGAAGTTCATGGACTACAGGAGAAAGAAACCCCTGAAAAAGATTTGTTGGGACCATTTTAATTGTTTATTTTCTTAGTTAACATCTAATAGCCCTTATCTTTTGGAAACACTGCACTGTGTGTGTTACTTCTGTCAGATCTTAACCTGTCCATATCAAAGGGAATGAAACCCAACTGTGTGACCAGCTCGGTTGCTCTCAGGTTCAGATGGACTCCTAGCACCAAGGAATCTCAGTCTCTTTTTGGAAACTAATAATTTTAAAAAGCAACTAATGATTTATTTTTCACTCAGGCAAAGTTTTGTGGTAAATATTTTATTTTTGGGGGATCATGACTGGCCAAAGGGAATGCATGTCACTCACTACACAGGAAATGAACAGAACAGGATCTCTTTGTAAATTCACTTTCATTCTTTGCAATGCCTTATTTTTTTGTTTGTTTATTTTATGCTTTGCATTCACGTTACCAAGGGACGACATCCAGCCATACAAGGCATCTTAGGACAAGATCTCATGTCTTCAAAGCTCACAAAATGAGTGGAAATAAGGTTTTTTACTATACCATACTATAACAGCCATTGTCTGTGTATGGAATTACTATGCCTATCTCTAGTGACCACAACACTGGGAAGATCCTACTGACAAGAGGAATAAGAACTTACAATGATAAACAATATCCTGTGCAAATCAACTGGAATTTCGGTGTGCACTGTGACTTGCACTGAAAACATACACCTAGCAACGTGGCAGTTTGAAGGGCATCTTTTCTCTTCCATGTTGTCTGGGCCTATCAAACCAGCACGAAACACACAGAAAAACCACTTGTGGCTAGTCCGCTTCATGCTGTGAACTCTATGGGGCAGGAGGATAGTTTGCTACAAAGCGTTACTACCATTTGTTGGGAGAGGGAAAACTGGAAAAGACTGTGCCCACTGGGCATCCTACTGAAGAGACCAACATGGCGTGGAGAAACAGGACACAGTGTGGCGGATGGAGAGGTTTATATGTTACCTCATAGTCAGAAGAAATATTAGATCTTCCAGAGAGATGCAGTTACGTGTGTGTCAGATTAATGGTATATCTCTTTAAAGAAAAGAAGCGTTGATAACTGGAATAATGTATGTCTGCTTGGCAATACTCTGTAAGAACATAAGTCTGTCACTTATCAAATGATGGATTAGAATAATCCAAAGCAAAACGTTTGAAAATAAAATACAGTTTTAGGTGATCAGTCAATAGTTTCTGCAGCACCAACCTTTATATGTTTCCCATCCCCAGTTGGGTGTTAGGCAATGTGCTTTAATGATTGCTAAATTTCTGCCTCTCTGTGGTAATATGAGCTCTAAAATTAGTGTGTGTCAAAACAATGACATGACCAAAAAATGTTCACTTTATCTGTACTGGATGTTTGATTGCAAAGAAAACCATTAGATAATTACAGTACACTGTGACAGTGCAAGAATTCTCCTGAATATATTTTGATGCCTCTTTAAAAGGAGAGAGTCTTTGGGCTTCCTGTAAAGAATACCTCATTTGTTCGTTTTTAATGTAAGAGTGTTCTTGCACATTTCTGTGTTCAGATTACAAAGTTCTGACAAACTCAGAAAATCATAGCACTTGAGAGTTCAGGGCAGGAAATTCTATCCCTTGAGCCTCCCCATCTTGTTGTACCTCGGTATCGGGTAAATTTATCACTAAGATACATTCCCCACATCAGGGAGAGCTCTGCAGTATTGGACAAAGGGATGGCTTAAAGGTGGAGTTTTAGGCTTCACTCTGTTTCTTTTGTGTGTTGGTCAGAACTTCAACACTTAATTGAACATGGAATGGGCTTTGAGACCTAGGGTTGTGTGTGTGTGAGAGCGCTCTCTTGAATTTTTCGGCAGAAGTATGCTTCCCTATAGCAAGCACATCACAAATTCTGTATACATGTGTCTACCTGATAGACTGAACTGGCTCTGTCAATTAATGAAACACCTATTGCGGCTTTTTTAAGGTAGATTATTTCCCCAGGTGGGTATAATGCTCTAATAAAGTACCTGGGGATGGGTAAATATCTATTTAAACAATTTGTTCAATAGATCTCCGCAAATGCTGAGTACTCTGGCCCCAGTCCAGCAAACCAGTAAGCATGTGCTTAACTTTAAGCATGTGAATAGTCTCTCTGAAGTTGAGAATGTGCTTGTTGATTTGTTGGATTGGGGTCTTATGGACTCAGCACTTAGTAGGATCGAGCCCTGACACCATAGGGACTTGTTCCAAAACACAAATATGTCCTCCTTGGGCCATATGCCACCAGCTAGGAAAACTGTGAAGCTAAAATGAAAATAAAAACCCAGAAACAGGCTGCGGGGAGCATTCAGAACAGAAACTAGTTGTAACATAATGTTTTGGTTCTTTTTTTAAAAACCTTTCTGTGAAATCATCTGGCATTGGCTGGACATCCCATGTATGTAGCATTAGTTATCAGGAGACAGGTAACTCATGGGTGTCTTTAGTGAACCAGCAAGAGAGAGAGGACTTCACAAAAGGAAACAATTCTTAAATGTTAGGAGTTAAAGCTCATTCTGTGCTGAATGCTTCCTACGTCTGGGCAAGAGGAAGCAATAAGCACTTGGTGGTGGGTGTAATTCCACTTTGGTTTCAGCCTGACAGATCATCTCTCAAGGTATTTTCCCTCCCACATCATCTCTTTCTATGTGCAACCACCTGTACTGGGAAATACTTGACCCCCGTCCTGTGCCCACACAAAGGCTCAAGGGAGCCATTCTAATCAGTCTGCTGTGTAACGCACAAATTACTGGGTGTGCTGTAGCTGCTTTTCAAACATTCACCTCGGCCTGTTCACCTACAAATGCCCAAAAGGAGATTAATGGATTTTTTTCCAAGCTTCGATCTAAGATTGCATTTCAGTTGATCTAGGGGGAGCCAAAACAGCTGTTTAAAAACTGGAAAAATTGGAGTTTCTCATGCTGTACCTCCAGTAACATTGTTTGGGGCAAATGGATTTCCAGTTTTTTCCAAAAATGGATGAACAAGAGGAAGAGTTCCTTCTGTGCAAATACTTGATAGTCCAAGTCTCAATGCAGGGTAAACATTCAGCAGTTTGCAATGGAAATTAGACGGACCCTTTATTTTAGCAGCACTGTAATAAGTGAACTTCACCAGCCTTTCTCTAGAGGCAGAGTGCTATAATCTGCATAAACTGAGTTCCCTGGAACTGGGTTTGGAGTGTGCCAAACTGCTGGAGCAATACTTGTGATCAACAAGTTCTTTTAAAGACCAGCTATGAGAAATGTAGCCAAAATAGAGTAATGGATGAAACTGTCACTTACAAATTTAAACAATAGCAGTGATGTCTTGATTCTATTGTATGTAAGAAAGTTTGATTGCAATCCAGCAATCTTTAAAAAAAAAAAAAAAAAAAAAATCCTAATCTCTCAAAGGTGGGCTAGGGTTCGTACAGTGCATTGTTCTTTTTGTTTTTATTAACAGCCGCTGTTTAATGGGTTGGGATGAAATGTTCTTGTTAAGGCAATTTCCATTGTTTCATGTCTTCTACACCAATATATATATGGTGTACATATTTACTTTTGAAAAAACTGTGTAAAATTGTACTTTGTATATACAACTATGTACAATATGGAGGTACATCTTTTTTTTCCCTTTGGTACAGTCTTGTACAGTATTAGAGGAGTACATGTGTTGGAATTGGTAACGCCGTACCGGAGGAAACAATGTATCCGTCGTTATTAGCAATAGTTTTGGAGAAATAAATGTTTTGGGTATGGTGGAAAAGCTGACCTACAGACAATAAATGATGGGTATGTGTATAAGACAGAGAGAGACTGCTGGCAAGGATGAGACCATGTGGGGTGAGGCCAGCCAGGAGCGCTGTGCTGACTTCTGGAAGATTGGGAATTTTCGTTAGATTCAAAATCAGTTTAAGAGACGACTGGCAAAATTAAGTAGCTGAGGAAAGTTCACAAAGCTTCAGTAGGAATTCTTCCCGTCCATAGATCTCAAAGTGCTTCAGTGGGGTGAGTAAGCAGCACCATTCACATTTTTGCAGCTGGATAATATGAAGCACAGGCAGGTGGAATGACTTGCCCAAAGTGATCAGCAGAAATCGTTGCAGAGCCCAAAATTGTTGCTCCTAGTTCAGGGCTCTATCCATTGGATCCCATTGCCTCACAAATGCAGCTGGAAGTATCGGAAAATGCAGCCCGAGGTCTCTTCTCCCTTGCACCCATTATAAGGTGCTCATAAGATAAGCACGCTCTTGTCCAATCCCCCCTCCATACGTATGCACTAGTAGAGAACATCCTTCTCTGGAGTGGAATCTGAATTACGCTTTAACACACTGTCTTGAGGCGCTATTGAATCTGCTGCTATCTAGTCCACGGACAGGCTGTGTGTGAACCACATCTCAAACGTGGGCAGCAATAAATCTATGCTCGGCAGGCCACTGACTGTAGGCATCAGTCTTCAATGTGTAGCTGTGATTCAGTTCCTAGTCCAGCCAACTGGGAAGGAATTGACGTGTGGGGCAGTCTTTCTGCATGAGGCAGATGGCTGTCTAGAAGAGGAAAGTCTCTGGGAGTGTTGGGAATGCTTTGTGCATGTCTGTGGATTATGCTTCGTGCCACAAGAATCCTGCAGCGATGTTGCTGTCAGCATAATCACTCGACAGGAACGGACAGGGGAGCAAATGCTTGGGAGACATTACTGCGGGGGCACAGGGAGGGTAGGAATACAGTGCTGCTATTTCTGCATAGTGGCATTTTATTCTTGTAAGATCTCCCATGCTGCTTGTGCATAGGGCCTGCTGTTTTGATATGTGCAGTATGGGGCGGTGGTTACTTGCATTGCAGACCAGCAGCAGTCAGTGGTGCAGTTTG